TCTTTGAGATGTTTCTCCAGCTGTCTTGGTAGACCCTGTTTCAGACTTTGTACATTCTAGTAAAGAAAATACAGCGTGGGCATGAGGAAAGCATTTGTAGTTTGAATTCATTATCAAAAAAAATAAAATAAAATAAAATAAAAGGAATATTAAAAGAAGTTTCCCAAACGGTTCTGGTGGTGTGCATGTTTTTATGGGTTTACGCTAAACAGATCCAGCATATCCCAAACAGATTTTAACTTGCATGTACTGAATTTTATGATTCACCTTCTCGGAAGGCATGAGCTCCATCACGAGCTGGGGGTCAGGCCCAGGACCGACGGCTGGTCCTGGTTTGTTGTGTTACTGGGATCCAGCTGCCTGACACACTGAGCCACCAGTAGACACCTCTCCATCGTCTCATAGAACTATAAAGGAACAAACGCAAATTATTTGTTTTATTATATGTATTTTTTTTAAGATCATCATTAGTAAGAGTCTCCTAATCGATTAAAAACTCCATGTGATAAACTTTTGTCTATAAACTTTTATCTGACCGTTTATCTATAAAAAACATTCAATAAAGTCGTTTTAGCCGTACAGCGAGATGAAAATCTGCTCAAAATTTGACAAAGAACATACAATGAATGCTTGTTAGCCTGTCCATAGCTCACTGATAGCTCTTTATGCACTTTTAAACTGTGTAAAGAAGTGAAATGTACCATGTTCTGGTCAGGGGTACAGTGGCATGGTGCTTCCTGACACAGTGGTTCTGGATCATCTCCTGCAGCCCTCTGTGCAGGCTCTCGGAGCGCAGCCATTGAAGTTTCTGAATCTGCAGCTTCTTTTCAGCCTGGGAAAAAAAAAAACCAAAACACTCACACATGTAAGGACTCACACAGTACCTCACAAAATCGGTCAGATCCTGTCCCAGTTCTAGAAAGAAGGCTTAACAAACTTGGAGCCAGACCCTAAACACTGAGACAGGAACCTTTGAGATTTGGAGTCGAGAACAGCTGATCAGGCTTAGGTAACGATGAGTCGCTCCATCTTGAATTAAGCACCTTTATGGGTGCTGGAAAAATAACCAAAGCATTAATGGTAACCCCGTCAATAAAGATCAGGGTCTCTATTTGAATTCAGTTTCATTTTTAAATGCAATCGTTCACCTGTTACCTGACGAGGTTATAGGAGATGAAAATAAAATGTAATACAAATATGGACCAAACATAAAAGACTTCTGTGATTTAACATTGTAGTCCAACCTGAAACTTCCACTTTACATGTAAAAATCTGACTCTGTGGCTTCTGATGACCAATCCAATGCAAATAAAGCTTTTGAAATGAAATATTGTTACAACATATTCAGACTGCCTGAAGCCTGTATTCACAAAACCCATTGTAAGATACATTTAGTCCAGCTGTTTAGTCCATGTAGCGCTCACTACATGTCTGGCTATCCACACAGCTTTTTCAGGTTTTGCAGGAGAAAATTTGCCAGTGAGCAGGTTATTCGAACATAATCTGTTTCTCTGGTAAACGACACAGAGGTTAAGTTAGCTCTCTTAAAACTATAAATAAACAAACAGCTTCTTTTATTCCAGTATTTTTCAGTTTTTTTAAAAAAAAGACTGTTCTCTTGAGCAGAGAAGGGTCGATCCATGTTGTTGCAATTCTTAGTTCTCGCCAGTAGAGGTCAGTAAGTCAGACTATTTATTGAATCATAATGAGTGGACTAAAATCTCATTTCCATAGAGGTGTGACAAATTATGACTCCTCATTTCTGAATAGTACAAGACAAAAAAATACAAGAAAACTGTTCCATGACCCAGTTTGAATTATTTTTTAAAACTCTACACTGATTAACTTCTGTGTTGATAAAAACAAATAGGAACAAATAGGAACAGGAACGACAGACACCTTGTCCAGCTCTGTTTTCAGCGGAGCGGTGAGTCCGGTTTGATCCACATGCTGTGCCAGAGTGGCCAGGAGTTTACAAAACTGCGGGTTCTGGATCAGATCTTCTTCAGTCATGTGACACAGTGGAAAGGAGGCGAGGACTGAGGGAAAGGCACAAAATGCAGAGAAGTAATTAAGGACGGCCAAACTAAACGGACAATAGTAAATTTGGCAAGAAATAAAGCTAAAAGAGCCTACTTTCGTATTTAACAATAACATCGTTATTTATACATTAATAGATAATACTTTAAACTACGTTAATTTATTACATCTACTTTCTGTTATTGCTACAATATAGGGTTACTAGTAGATATGCAGCCCACTTGTCTTCTTACCCTGTTGATGCAAAGTGTCACCCTTCCCAAGCGACGATATGTTTGCTGTCTCGGTACTACCGGACATTTTCCAATTAATTATTGTCCTTAGTATCCAAACATACAGGAGGTTTGTGGATTTGTGAACTATTTCTTTCAAACACGAAGACGAGCTGAAATCTTAAACACGTACTTCCTGAATCAAGTTGCGCGCGTTTGCCGGAAGCCTTCTTATTGGCTAACTGGACCACGTGGTCATACAGCGGTCCCTGGGTGACGGCAACGTGCTATTCACGAGAGCGTGAGGTGTTGAAGCGGAAAATATCGAGATTTTAATCTTTTCCCACTAACAACTAAACGTCCTTTGACATTAATATTAATAAAGTGACATGGCTTAAGATAAAACTGAATGTTTGTTGTTGTTAAACAACAATTACAGTAACAACAACTAGAAGCTAAAGAACGCATTTGGCCATTATGACACTATCAGAATATTCTCTTTCTTTTGTGTCTTTTGCTCCTCGATATTCTTTTTATTTTCAATTTTCCTGTTGTACTTTTAATTGTATCACATTTTTAGTTCATTTCTTGTTCATTTGTTTTTTTTAAATTAATTTTTAATCTTCACTTTTTGCTTACTGCTCACTTGGTTTGTTTGCTTCACTATCTGCATAACCTCCGATTAAAGATGTTGGACTTTTGCTTTGTCTCCTCTGGGTTCTCTTTCCCTGTGTTCCTTATAATTGGCATCTTATCCATCTACAAACAGGTATTTCACAACCACATGACAGAGGATAAGGCATGCACTGCTGTGTCTCTGGGCTTTCCTTGAACAAGCAGTTAATAAAATTGACGAATAATCAAAATGTGCTTTGACTCTTATAGCTCGATGTTGGGGAGTAAAATCAATAAATGACTCAAATTATGTGTATATGGTCAAATTATATATGATCACTATGTGCTGCAAGTTAGGTGGAGAGGGTGTTCATTGGACAGAGATGGGGCTCTCGTGTTTTCATGCTGACTGTCAGTCTCCTCGTCCTTAAGATGATTTTGTTTTCGTGCCCTGGGCTTGTATGATCACCTCGCACCACGGCGGTTGCTGGCAGCGGAACTAACATCGCTTTGAACCTCCAAGGAGATATGATATTAGAAGCAGATGTCTCGTTGTGCTTTAATAAATGACAATCAAGTTTTTACATTCCACTAAATTTGGGGGATTTTTGGCTGTGGGATTTCTCCTGCTTGCTTTTTCTGTTTTTGATTATACAGCAAAGAAAATGGATTCAAAGACGTGGAAATATCCTTCTACATGTCAAGCAGAACATTACTAGCAGGGGGTGATTGGCAGGACTATGGCGCACACTGCCCTGTTTATTTACAGGCAATAAAACCCAGTATGTTCATCATTGTTAAAGTAGATTATTTATTTATTCTTTTATTGGGCCTGTCAAGTCTTTACAGGCTACATCAGCCCCTGTATTTATCAGTTTCTCTTCCATACATATTATATGTACATATGGGGCTGCACAATACTGGTATTCTTGTAGAGTGTCTTTTCCACATGAACTCTGACTTCTCATGTTTGCTTCTCGCAGCTGTTTCCTCGCAACAGTCCCTGTCCATATCTGGTCTTCTCAGTGAAGGATTTCTTACCTAAGATTTGCCAACACTGCGTGTACTTCTCTCCCAGTAAGCGTTAGCCAGCTTTAAACTTTGTGGATCTCCACTGGACGGAAAGGTTTGCGTTTCCAGTCTCAATGTGGCTGTTTCAACAGAGTAATGTAACTTTGAATGGTCCACAAATAGTAACTTCACTCTACTGCTGTTTACACAATAACTAGTGGTCCTCACTCATCAATGAGTGGGCAAATTTAGACATGGGAGCCAGTCAATTCGAGTAAAATTGTAACTGACAAGGGATAAAACCAATGGATTGTGCTGGGATGCGACTCTATGGGTGTGATTTGTTGCGCTTATAGACCAGCCCTTATTCGCTTGACCAATTAATGAAAGCTAAAGCTAACCGACAGTTACTTCGGCCAATTATAACGTTGGACTTCCCGGTAGGTGGGTCTCCGTGTAGAGGGGTGGGGTGTTCGAGGTCATTCAGTCCCTCTCTGATTCACTCTATCGGCGTGTGTGTGTGTTGAGGGAACGGGTAGTTGGAGTAAGGAATCGCCGGGCGCTAGTGCATCACGAATGCTTTTTTTTGGGAAAGAAACGCCGCTGAAAAATTACACCATAGACCGAAGAAGCGACCCCCGGTGACGACTTCTGTGAAAAGAATCTTTTCAACGCAGCGACTGCGCCACACGCACAGCCAGGCAAACGCAGCCGGGCTATCAATGTTAGCCTACTAGCATCCCTGAAAACAGACGGGATCAAGGTGTTGATAGCTAGCCTCCCAGCTAATTGCCCATCAGCTAGCATCCTCAGCGGTAGCATCATTAGCTCGTTTCTCCTCGCGCACGTCGAGACCTCGCCATCGCTCGTGGCGGTCCCTTTTAGGTCGCGGCAATCAAATCCGACACTGAGACAAAAACAGAGAGCGGTTCCTCCTCACTGGTGCTGGAGACGGCGTCTGCGTTGCATTAGTTGACACCATCACACCCAACCCATCACCTCTGCCCCTCTTCCTCCACCCGAAACACTGGAAATCCACAAGCGGCCGGGTAGCGGCGAGGGCCGGCGAAGCTGGGGTGGTAACGCTACCGGACTCGCAGGGAGTCACAGCGGCTGCAGACAAGCACAGCCGTGGGGATCTACCGACAAGTATGGACGGGCTGGCCGTGGAAGTTCGCGGCTCGAACGGGGCCTTCTACAAGGTAACCAGGTTACAAACGTAGTTTCTAGCTGTCCCAGTTAAAGTTTTGTTTCCTTCTCAAAACGTTAGGTTTCGCTCTTCTGAGCTCAGCTCTCGCTAACTGGTACTCTGCTAATGCTAGCGTGGGTCCACTCCTGACGAACAGGGATGGTTTTGCGTTCAATTAGGGCTGGCCATTGTGGTGTAGGCAGCTAGCCGTAGCTAGCAGTTAGGCTAGGCACACTTGACATCACCATGCATGGCCTATGTGTGTTCATTTTCTTTTATCACATGTCAGCGTGAAAACACGCTGTAAACAGTTTTGAAGCGACACACGGCAGGTCCGCTAATGAAACCCTGGATGGAAACATTTAAAAAGGGCAGCGAGCTGCTGATCAGACAGCTGTTGTGCAGCTCCTACGTGCAAGTGTGATGTGATGCTACATCAAAGCTCACATTCTTCATAATTGCTTTGTAGCCCAGCCCAGGTTTCAGCTACAGCGCTGTACCGCGTGTCTCATGTTTATTGCCCTGACTGACGCTTTTGGTTTCAATTCTGCCTGATTTTAAACAGAAAGATCACTTTCACATGCAGACACGTGACTTCAGGTCTTTGTTGTTGCTGTGTCACAGCTTGTTTACGACGTAACATTAAGATGGCAGCCAAACTATACTATCAAGCATGTTTTGGTTTGTTTTTTTTCTCAGATGTCTTAAGTGGTCAGGCTCACAGGTTTGGTTCTGCGAGAGATTGTAAGGTTTAAGGGGCAGCTTCAGACTGAGGAGACACTAAACCGTTTTGGGGGATAGGGAAATAAACCCTACTCACCCTCACCAACTCTGTCTAGTTTTAGAGAACATCTTTGATTCAGCTTTTTAGATAGCCCATTTCTTTGCCTGCGTCTTCAGTCTTTTTTTTTCCTCAACCTTTCAGCTGGCCGGTGGAGCACATGGTGGGTTAGTGATGACCCTATATTTACCCTCCTCATGCTGCCTCACCTGTTGTTCTGGTTTACGGGGTGACAGTTTGGCTCTGGCGTCAAACACTTTCCACGAAACTCTGCTGTGTCCATTATTTCACAGCTCTTTCGGCCGATGTCATTGACACATAGCTGCGATTCTCTTTAGTGTATATTTTTGCCCTTGATGGAGGTGAGTGGGGTGAAAGCTTTGCTACTTTCCTCCTTTCCTGTCGTGATTGGCACATGGGTATAAAAGGATTTTATTCAATTCCACCACCATTCACCCCGTTACCACTTTGTTTTCTGTTGAGCTATGAATGGGCATCGTGTTTATTAAAGTGTCAGGAAAGTGGCACTCTATATGGTTTCTTTTGCAGCAGAAAACACAATGGGAAAACTGAGAAGACTAATTTTTAAACATTGTGACATTCCCTTTTTTCTCTATGTCACTGAAGCTTGTGCATTAAACTGCCTTCTTTTCATCTATTTATATTTTATTATAAGCCCAGTCTGATCAGTGGCTGGTTATATTGAAAAATCTGTGAGAGGAATATTGCAGACCTGGCATCTTTTCTCCAAATGATCTTAGTGACCACATGTGTGTGCTGGCCTAAGGCTGAAGTGTGGACACGGGCAACTGTAGTACAAACCTAGCAGTGCCTTGTGTAAGGGGCAGTTAACTTGACAGGGCATGCACACAGCTGTCTCACCACATGTGATCTGTGGAAACTGAAGGGTGATTACTTTGTAACTCCGATCGGTTGGCATTGCTGACTTCTGTGATAAAGGCCAATCTGCTCTGAAGCTGGAACCCTGCGATGACGTATAGTATAGAGGGATGGATGGTGTGAATGCTAACCAGGACCTTCTCAAAACTGAGGCAGTGGTGGTTAGCATTAATATCTGAGAGTAGACTGCAAAAAAATAAAAATGGTGTGACATCTATGCAACCAAAACCAAAGTGGCTTTAGAAAACTTTTAATGTGGTATCATGTTTCTGTCTTCCTGTATCATGATTCCCGTGTGGAGCTTATGTGTTCTCAGCATTTCCGTACCCAGGGCGCACACCCACACTTTGTTAAATTATTTAATAATTAATGCTATACATACTTTGTGACAGTAAATAATGGAGCACAAATCAGTTGCATCTCCAGTAATTGTCTTATCTTGCGGCTAGACCACAGCTGTGTCGTCTTGGATTGAAGGTACAGACTTAATTTCTGCTCTGCAGCCTTGATGAGCTACAGTGTAGCAGGTACTGGTGAAAGATGCCCCTCCAACACCAGAACCAGAACTATGTCACCGTTTGCTGCAGTCTAAGTCAGCAGGCTTGGATTTTGTCCTGTAGCCGGATGACATCAAACTGCTGCAACAGTGACCTGACCTGAGCTGTAGGGAAAGTTGAAACAGAAAGGATCGAAGGCAAACTTTGAAATAAAAATGAATCTTGTAATTTATACTTAAATTAGGTTTTTTTTATAGGTATTTTTGTTTTTAATTCATAATCAATGAGAAACAAAATACTGCGGTATAAATTTATACCTAGGTATTTTGGAGCATCAGGATCTCCCTCGTGTCTAAACATTTATTTTATCCAGGTTCAGGTCAACATTAGCATCTTTCCAGCAGGTGAATCCCCACCCCCTACAGTACAAACCATCAAGAACACTTGTACAACCCCTCTGTCCCATATATGGTCGTGTCACACCGAGAGACGTGACACACCCACACCACAAATGGGGAGTAGGTTGCTTAAAATTTATGGCATGCTGAGACAGATCTGTGGACAGCCATGATGGACGAGTAGTAGGTTAAAGTGATCTCTCGTAATGGGCAGGCAAATGATTGTCCCCTATAGGCTGGCCCGGATGCCTGTACACGCACTCATTTGAACAGTCCTGTGTAAAATTGTTGTCTTTAAATCTCCCACACAAACACACAGTGAAGAGGGCTCGCTTCTGGATTTTAATTCTGTTGTTGTTTGCGCGTGTGTGTGTGTGTATGTGTGAGAGAGAGGGAGTGAGCGTGTGTGAGAGATTTCCCGGCTGTCTGTGCTGTCAGGAGGAGTCAGTGTTCCTCGTCACTTTATCCAACACAGAATTCACAGCCAGAGAATTGTGTCAGCGATGTGATGTCTTGGCTTCTAAAAAAGCCCAAGATGCGCTTTTTTTTTTTCCCTTTTGTATTTCCAGTCACAGTATCAGTCTAACATTGCTCACAGCCGCCTGTGTTGTTTACATGTACACAAAAAAAAAAATCAAATGCTCACAGCCCCACCCATCTGTCTTTCTGTTGTGCATTCATGGGAATAAAAATTCTCTCTTTTGTCTTTTAGGGTTATATCAAAGATGTCCACGAAGACTCGCTCACAATTGTGTTTGAAAACAAGTAAGTATGCTCTTCCTGTGCACCTCTCCTGTTTAGCCTTAGCTGCAGTATGCCTGGTTTAGGATGTTGCAAGGCATCAAAAATTGTCCTGTTCAGCACCTGTGTTTGGCATGCAGCTGTCCATACATGTCTCTAACAGTTTTTTCACCTCCTGCTCTAACCCCCACCTCTCGCACCACCACCCTGGTGGCATGCTTTCCTATATTCCAAGCCCCACCTACTGTCCCCTTCTACCACCCCTCCACCACCCAACTCGTCCCTCTTTATCTACTTGGCTCAGCGTGTAGATCAGGGAGCTCCTAAAAATAGTGACCCATGGTATGCGCTTCGGGAGGGGTGGCAACAGGGTGGCCTGTGTCATTTTTGGGATCCATCCTTCCTTCTCCTTTTACTTTCCCTTAGCACAGCCATCTCTAGGCTTTACAGAGACTGGTCAGAAAAAGTAAATATTCAGTGACCCAATGCAAGAGGTTTTTGTTTTGTTTTGTTTTTTTTGTGTGTGGCCTTTTTCAGCCTTACTGCACAACGCAGTGAAGAGTGACAGGAAAGCGGAGGGAGGGAGGGAGGGGGAGGAGAAAGGGGAAGACATGTGGCAAAGGGCCACGGGTCAGACTCAAATCCGGCCATTCGCCCTGCTCGTCCCGGTGCAAGAGGCCTTTGGGTGAAAATGCTTTGTTGAAATCAGAAGACGATGGCCAGAGTGTTACACAACAATAGAATGGCAACAGTAACTAGTAATAACTGCTTGTTCAAGCAAGGTATGCATAACCTGATGAACCTTGAAGCACACAGGCTACAGCAGCAGAAGACCACACCAGGTGCATCTCCTGCCAGCTAAGAACAGGAAACTGAGGCTGCAGTTAGCACAGGCTGACCGATGGCAGATTAGAGAAAATTGGAAAATCACTGCGGAGGAGTCCAAGACTGAGGAGTCTTGGATTTGGTAGGGCATAAACAAAAGAATGGATCCCATCCTGCCTTGTGTCAGGGAGTCTAACCCAATATTGGCACGGTGTATCAAAGAGAGTGGCTGGTAGGGATGGGTATTGATAAGATTTTAACGATTCCGATTCCATTTTCGATTCTGTTTAACGATTCGATTCTTTATCGATTCTCTTATCGATTCTTTTTTTTTTTTTTTTTTTAAAAAAGGAGAACACTAAGGTCGATTAGCTCAGAGCTTTGTTTTATATCTTCTCTTTGAACAAGATAGAAATTTAGGAGTAACATGGCCTTACAAACCCAACAGTGAGATCTTAAGAGATCCAGCCTATGGCTCTTCAATGGGGTGTCACAGGGTCCCCAGGAAAAAAAAATTGTAAATGTAAAATAATAAAATAAATATTCTTGTGAGACATATCACATATTGACGGGGTCGGGTTATGTTAAAAGTATAAATTGTTATACTTTGTTCATTGGTTCAAAGGTACCCCACACTTCTTTTTTTGTTTGCTTGTTTGTTCTGGTGTATTTTTCATTTGAACTGTTACTCTGCCAGAGTACTCATATTTACAAGATGGCATTGAACGCCCCGTTGGTGTATCAGGAAAACTATTTTGTACGTATGTTCCTTGAAGGGGATTGAAGTCGTTCTTTTTTCCACCGCAGCGAAGGGCTAGGAGTAGGAGAGGAGCTGCTGTATGTTTTTGTTATCGAATCGATCTGATTGTGAAATAAAGCATATGCAGTGAGAAAGCAACTCCAGGAGTCATCCCTGCCTTAAAGCTGCAACATTCTTCTGTAGCAATAACAAAGTATAACATAAATTGTTCTGTGGCAATTACACAAGAATATCCAGTAATGTCCCTGCCTACAATTAAACACATTCACTTACCAAAAATCGGGGGCATCTGCTGTGGCAAATGGGTGCAAGCCTTTGACCACAAACTTAGACACTGCTCGGTGACATTAGTCTATCCTGGCCTGAAAGGAGACGCTACCGGTAGACTGCAGCGAGAACTGCCAGCGAGCGCCAGCCAGACTCTGTCTGTCTCTCTCATCATGGTTACCTACATGTACAGTAATGGCAGGTCTTGTAATAAGGCAGATTGCGCTAACATAATTTGCACTGTTAGTTGATTATTTACCTGCCGCATTAACGGGAGAGGACGTGCAAACGTTAGCGCTGCTGCTGGGTTGAGAGTCACGAGTCCGGAGCGGAATTAAAAACGCGTGTCATCGCGTGTTTTGTGAGCAAATGCTTTTGCATATTCGTAGTGTTTCCTCCCTTAAATGAAATATCTACTTTGCAAGTTGCCCTGTTGTCATCGGTTCTTATAAAGTATAATCAAACTTTTGAGCGTTTGAGCCGCTTAGGCGCCGTGTTTCCTGCCAGGTAAATGACGCTCCGCAACGTGGTGACGTCATTCGGGGCGACTGGAATCGATAAGGGAATCGTTTGCAAAAATGGCAAACGATTCCAAGGAATTGAAACAGTGGGAACCGGTTCTCAACAAGAACCGGTTTTCGATACCCATCCCTAGTGGCTGGTGAGTGTGGTTTGGTTGGTTTGTTGTAGCTCAAGTATAGTACAGCTGGATTTTGTGCTTATGTTGTTCTATTACACAAACACGAACAACAAGTCTTGATACTCTTTGTCCTGGGGTGACTGTAGAGGATAAAAATTTAAACATCAGGATATTTGTATGCCTTTGGTTTGTTTTGTTATCGATGTTAAAGCATTGTTGCTACTTTCTATAATAAAAGCTCCACCCACACCACATAATAAAGCTCCACCCACAAAAACCAAAACAAAACACAAAGGAGGATGGAAGCTCTCAAAAGAAAAGTCCTATAAAAACTTAGTTGAGAGATCAAACTGAATGAGCTGCTATATACTGTATATTAATCTCAAGCTTTAGGTTTTGCAAGTCTTTCACTTTTCTGCTTCTGAGTCATTTTTAAATTCTTGTTGAGTGTAAAATGACAACTTTTCCACTTACTGACCAGCCACGGTCCCTGGGCTTCCTCATTAAACCTAATGAACCTTTAAAACTGTTATTGTTATTATGTCTGTAAATGTGCTACACAGCAGTGAGTGGGTAATACGTACCCATACCATTACAATCCGAGTGTGACGTGACTTAGAAGAGCTTCAGCCAACAGCGTTTCATTTACCTGTGATTGTCGGTAGGTTGACAAGTGTTTTGTCTCCTCCACAGCTGGCAGCCAGAGAGACAGTTGCCCTTCAGTGACGTGCGGTTGCCTCCTCCAGCCGACTATCACAAGGAAATTGGTGAAGGAGAGGAAGTGGAGGTGAGGCCTGGCTCTTTGCATATGTCTGACTCAGCTCATACACATAAATTTTCCGACATTATGTCTCAAGGCCTTGTTTTTCACTCCGACAGTCAGATAATTATTCGCCGATACTTTTCACCTGTCGTTTCAAAAATCCTGGAAAATTCTGAAGTCTTTGATAGGTACACATTTTAGATCACATATACTTTTTTCCACATTATTAATTGGAAGTACTTACAGTTTATGTTATGTGATGTATATTATCACATAGTCTGCTATACACCCAGTGATTTCAGACATGACCTGAGTTCCTGAGGCTCATTTAAAAAGCCTGAAGTTTGAATCATGGATCTTGATATAATGATTAAATACGTTACAGGTCACATCTAAAACACATTGTATATAAAATGTGTGCATATGTGTTTCTATTGCTGTGGGTGATGTTGTATTCAGACCCAATAAACGTGTTTTTGACCGTTTCTCTAACAGCCAATGAAAGAAGCAGTTCCTTCCAAAGTTAATCCGCTAGCTGGAATCATTTAACAGTAACAAACAGGAAGTTGTATAAAAAGCATCAAATACTGTGTGGCAGAGTTTATTGGACTGTTGAATATGTGCTTATCCATCAAGTAACTGTTTAAATGTGTTGTGTTCAGGCTTTTATAAACATGGTTTGGTCTGCAGTCTTTTACGAAGGACTTAAAAAGCATTTCTAAAACGATAGCATAGATCCAGCCCACACGCTTTTTACAGAGTGACATAGTTAAATTAGAATTTTTGTCACTAATGTGAGTTTAACAATCCTGACTGAGATCTGAGGACCCCGCAGATCATTTAAGTGTTGCATTCGATTGTTTTGAGATGTCTCCATAACTGAAACACGTCCCAGTCGTGGAGACCTCTCATCTGCATCTATTTAGCATTAAGAGTTTTGTTTTTGTTTTCATGGAAATGCAAGTTTAAGGACACGTGGCTCTAGATAAAAAGTACCAGAAATGTCTCGTTGCAACGGTTTTTTAAGGTGTGCCAAAAATCTTTTAAAGTTGGGACTATGGGAGTTATAGATGTGGAATCCACATAATATTAGTGGGAGCTGTTCATACAAGTGTTTCGTTAAGTTTTTACTAACCACTAAACTAATACCTGAGGTGTCTTGGGTTAAATTAGTCCCATTCAAAGTCAAACAGCTTCATTCTCTCTTTTCAAGGTGATGCTTTTTATTTATTTATTTGATTTTTAGTCTTTTTTTATTTTTTTTAAAGTGGATGAGCGTGTTTCTGTCTTTTGTCTGTGGTTCAGCTTTTATTCGCTGTCTCTCCAGGTTTACTCCAGGGCCAACGAACAGGAGCCATGCGGCTGGTGGCTGGCGCGGGTCAGAATGATGAAGGGAGAAGTAAGTGTTTGCTGAGAGTAAATCTTTGAACAAGTGAGATAAGTGGGTAAACACACAAACTGAAATTATATTTCCTGCTCTTATATAATAAAGCAAGAGTGACTAGTATGTATAACATCCTCTACCTTTGCGTTTCAAGCCCTGTTTGAACGTCTGCCCATCATTAGACAACACTTCAGTACATTTTAATACACAGTTGTTCTTTTAATCCAGCCTAATCTTTGTTTTGTGGATATGTTGAAAACTCAATAGTTACTTCCTGTTTCTAAGTTCCTGAGGCTTTCACTGAGCTGTTCAGCTGAAAGGAACTATCATAATTGAGAAGACGATATCACGCAGCGGTGATAGAATCCACCTAGGTCAGCTTCCTCTCTGTTTATTAATCAGTAAGCAGTCGTCTTTCACTTTGCCTCTGGCTGTACTGCCAGTAAGTCTTTATGGAGCTCTGAGTACTGCAGTATGCTGTGTGTAAAATAAATATAGGCCAGTAGTAAGAAGTGCTGCTGGGTAATGGGCCCAAAGAGTTTGTCCTAATCGACTCTGACATTGTACATTCAAATTACCTGTCCCGTTCACTCTGTGTGTCTTCTGCACCCTGACCTATTGTGTCAAAGTGGATTTGCACGGGACCAGTCTTTTTAAAATTTTTCAGATAATTACAAGGAGCTCTGACTCTCAGGCACCAGCTGCAGGTTGAATAGTGGGTCAGTGGGATATGGAAAGGACAGCTATGCAGGGCTAATGTGCCAAGGGAGCTGCTGCTGCTGCTGTAGTGCTGTTATTTGGAGCAGTCTGATAAGAGCCTGCAGGAATGTCTAGCATTGACTGATGGCTTTAATTCAGTCCTTTGAGCGTGGAGTGTGCAGTGTTGGTCTTGCTGCTGCACTTTTTCTGCACTACTTGTCGTGTTTTTCTGTATCTTTACTCTCATGCATCTTCTTTCACTTGATTTTATGTATATGAAATAGAAGAAAGTAGCAACAGAGTGTAGTTTTATTAGCAGCAAGACGCAGAGGTGCATCTCGAGACATCTTTGACTCCATCGGAGCTTTATATATCTGTGTTTTTGTCTACTTTATTAAAAATCTGTATCTCCCGTGTTGTTTTCAGTTCTATGTGATCGAATATGCGGCGTGCGACGCCACGTACAACGAGATAGTCACGTCAGAGCGCATCAGGCCTCTAAACCCCAACAGCCCTGCCTCTCGAAACACCTTCCACAAGATCCCCATCCCCGTCCCAGAAGACCTGAGGGACATGTGAGTCCTGCATATAAACAACCCCTCACTCATGCCTCTACACATCCAAGCACTTTGCTCCCTTAGAGTTCTCATATGTTGTCAGCAATCATGCGTGTAATGATGATTCGGTGCTGCCAAACGAATAACGAGATCGACCCTGCTCTGGATTGTTTTATCGACAGCTGTGCAAACGACAACATTCACAAAGACTTCAGGAAAGCAATCGGAGCCAACTGCATCTTCTACAGTGCCCAAACACATGAGCTCATCGTGCTGGTTAGTACTCTGAACACACACTTCAGCAGACGCCTCCTGATCAAGTTAATGGCCTTGTTTTATGTCATCACGTGAAGGAATGATGCAAAGCAGCAGCAAAAAATCTCACTCGCAAATGTGAACATCAGGGAAGGCAGACAGACGAAGAGATGTGAATCCAGATAATGCTGCTAACATTATATGCACAAAAGTACTGTACCGTATACACACACTGCTACTTTGTGACTGAGTGTGTAGACATTCATTCACAAATGTTTGTAAAGGCTATAGGACTGTATACTTCTGCTAATGCTTCTGTATTTAAGAAATATAAGCGATCCCCTGAAAGTAAACAGTTTTAAGTCGAGCTCACTAGATGACTAACTTTTAAAAACATCTTAAAATCCAAACTCCTGGATGTTTGGGCCCAGCGTAGGGATATTTGAATCATGGAATAATTCAACTACAACTGTGTCATAGTGATGGCAAAGAGTTTACATTTCAGCTCCAGAAAGAGCATTTTAGCAGTGCTTTGGATTGTGGTCAATAAAGAGAAGTGTGAATCGTAAATTGCGAAGACCTTAAGTCTTATAAATTTGCTAGAGCTGAATAACTTTACCAGAAAAAAGTCTGGCCACACAGCAGCCGTTCTGCAATGCTTTATTTGGGCAGTTATTTTAAAGCATTATCTCAATTAAAAAAACATCTATGGGCCTGCTAGAGAACTCTGATAAAAGCCACTTAAAAATGTGAAGCCTTTGGCCCAAAATAAACTTTTAAAAACCTTTTTTTAATTTCCCTCTCCTTAAAGTTTGACTTCTACCACCATCTTTTACCGCTGTAGAATTAACCCAAATTTCAGTTCAGGGCTCTCTAATAAGGGGTTCATGCCCTACACATCCCGGATGACTGTCTGTTGTGGTTTAGGAACATGTTTTTCAAAGCATTTCTTGCTCTGGGCATTGAATGTCTGTTCTGTCTGGATCGTCTTTACGAGTCGGTTATGGCTTTTGTTGTATTAGTTTACCTGATTCTGAACCTTTGTTGCCTTGTGTGTCTTATGTTGTGTCTTCAGTCCACAAATGAAACCACAGTAAAGCGTGCAGCTCTTCTGAGCGACATGCATTTCCGGAGCATCCGTACCAAGCTTATGCTAATGTCCCGCAATGAAGAAGCCACCAAACATTTGGAGGTAATACATTCTGTCAACTACATGTGTCTCCCTGATCATTTAAATCCTAGCCATGCATCTTGGCAAGCAACCTTGCGTTTCCCCTCTCCTAGACAAGTAAGCAGTTAGCATCGGCGTACCAAGAGGAGGTGAGGGTCAGGGAGGACCTGATGGGCCTCGCCATCGGCTCCCACGGTGCCAACATCCAGCAAGCGAGGAAGGTGCCTGGTGTTACAGCGATCGAGCTGGAGGAGGAAAGCTGCACGTTCAGGATCTATGGAGAGGTACGCTGGTTAAGGAGGCTTTCTGCTGCTGTTTTTGGAGAAGCAAGCAGGAGAAAACAAATGATCCTTTTTTACATACAGCACTGACAGTTCACTGTTAGTGAATGTAGGTGGGCAAATATCATCTGAAGCACTGAAACCATAACATTTGTTTGGTTCTCTTTTACTATTTTAAAACTTTAATCCTGATTGGATCAATGGAATAACAATTCAGTTGATCCATTCAGGCTGTTGCCAGTGTGAGATGGCAATTATAGGCTAATTAGCGACATGAGGTGATTTATTGGATGTAGGGATGTCTTAAAACATAAGATTATGAGTGATGGATTGAGAATATTGACTCTTCACAGTTTTTGCCAGTGCGTAGAAATGCAGAGAAACTAAACTGCCTGCTTGTCAAAGTCTGTGTTCAGATTTGGACTTTGGTCTTAAACTCAATTAGTGTTTACCCTACCGTTGCCAGTCACCCCGCCTGCCCCAGAAGCCACTGGAGATAATAATTTAAAAACATGCATAATAATAATGAAACAGATTTTAATTACTTTATCTAATTAATGTGAGAGTTGCATTAAGCACTAACTTTTTAGATTGTATATTTGGTCACTAGACTTGTGCATGTGGCTGTTATTGAATGAGAGAGGGCAGCACAGCAGGCAGAAGTTAATGAGAACTCGCTAGCTTACAACGAACGGATAAATGCAGAAGTACTGCAAACATCCGAGTCTGAGCAAAGCTGTCAGAGTCCTGGCTAGAGCAGCACTGCTTCCACAGTGTGTCCGTCTTCCCCCCCGACATTCAACCGGTCACAGTAGAATGCTGCACCTCTCTGAGCCTGGTTCTGTAGGAGGGTTCTTCCTGTTAAAAGGGAGTTTTTCCTTCCCACTGTTGCCAAGTGGTTGTTGAAAAGGAGTCATTTGATTCGTGGGATTTTTCTCTGTATTACTGTAAGGTAGAGACACCTGTTGATGGGATTTAGTGCTGTATAAATAAAATTGAAACTTCATAAGGGCCACGGTTCTTTTTTAGTGCAGAATAATGCACTGAAACGGAATAAAAACTTTTTGCTGTGCATACTTTCATTTTGGTTCTTATGTGCCGTACACTGCATTGTTTGTGTTGTTACAGACCCCAGAGGCAGTGAAGCAGGCCAGAGAGTATCTCGAGTTCAAGGAAGACTACTTTCAGGTACCCAGGAACCTTGTAGGTGAGTGAACAACATAACATTCCTGAGTTCATTTTGCTGCTGACATTCTGCTTCATCACCACACCATATTCCTGATTGGAACATTCTTTACACCCTTTCCGCTTTCCCCGTTGCGCAGGCAAAGTCATCGGCAAAAACGGCAAAGTCATCCAGGAGATTGTGGACAAGTCGGGCGTGGTCCGTGTCAGGATCGAGGGAGACAACGACAAAAAGCTTCCCCGCGAGGAGGTAGGCAGGCAGGGGCTGGCAGGGACGACACTGCCAGCAGCAAAGAGGTGAATGGACCGATCGGCTGCTCTCCCAGACCCTCCTATAACCTCCCCAACCCTCCCCCCTCCACCATCCATCTTCCCTCGTCTCTCCAATCAGAAAAGCTACTTAACTGCAGCAGCGTGCAAGCGTCCCATGTGCTGTCTGCTTTGACTCTGTTCGTTCTGCTGCTGCTTTGTATCTTGTTTTGTCACAGAGTTTGCTTTGCTTTCCACACACAGCCCACTGCACAGCATATATGTTATACTGGGCTGGTTAGCCAACTGTGGTCTGATGGGTTGGTATGCTCCTGTTGAGTGTGCAATTTAAGTATATAGTTGCTCATTGTTTAAACTGATGATTATCTGTTTCCTTTCCTTCAGCTTTTAATTCCTCCCCCACTCTCTGCTGTTGTTTCAGGGCATGGTTCCCTTTGTGTTTGTGGGAACCAAGGAGAACATCAGCAACGCTCAGGCTCTGTTGGAGTACCACGTGTCCTATCTCCAGGTTTGTCAGTCTTCCATTTTTACCAGTAGATGGCACCACTGCTTTTTGTTTTTTGTCTTTTTTTTGTGACAGAAAAAGATAAAAACAGTGTATTTTCTGTCTCTGCCACCTCGACTTTATTTGAATACATGTGTTCATCCCACAACAATTATTTCTTCTTCTTTGGGAACGTGGAGTAGGTGTGTATCGGTCACCTGTCTCTCGACTTTCCAGCTCCACATGAGGAAAGCTGCTGAGAGCTCCTTATTTTGCCCTTACCTCATGTGCTTTTATAAATAGCTCCTCTCTACGGGATGGGGTGGAGAGTATGCCTGAGTATAGATTACCAGCTATCTGGACCCTCAGTGTTCAAAAATAACATCAGACCCCCTCCTGTCGCCCCTCCCTTCCTTCACACTTCCCTTGAGGTTCAGCTGTCATTGGTGGAGACAGCTGTCACACCGTGAACTGAGACCTTTCTCCCCACTAAATCCTCCTCTAGATCACCCACTTCTAAACTGCCATTAGTCACCACTGCCCACTCATCTACTATTTAAAAAAAAAAAAAAAGCTTTTAATTTATTGAAGGTGTCATCAAATTTGATAAACTGATACCTTTAAGTTTATCCCTGCTGTCAAGTTGTTTTATTAGAGGGCTGTGGGAGAGGTTATCGGTTTATTGGCTGTTGCTTATGTGGTATCCTCTCCAGCAAGATGATACAGAGATCCAACCAACTGGACAATCTCTGCAGAACCACTCAGCATCTGTGACTTGAACTGACTGAGAACATGTGAGCAAGCAGACTGTGGAGCTCTTTGTTATCCTTTAGAGATTTAGTAAAGGGGGGTGGGGGTGCATTTCTAAAAGTGTAAAGGCAGCAGTTTGCTTAAAAAAAAGAGACTGTAATTGATGGCAGGCATGCCTGTGTCTGTGTGACAGATACAGCTGCTTGTTCAACCCTCGACTATGAATTAATGTTTATCGCAGTCAGCCGGTCCATCTGTTAAAAATCACTAGGTGAACACAAGTGGGTGTTCTGTGAGAATGCTCAGGTTGAACTTCACCAATTGCTGCCACCTAGTGGTGAGCAGTAGGCTTATTAAGAGAACCAAAGCAAAGCAAGGCCCACAACGGATGGGAGCTCTAGGCCCAACAGAATAATCTTGTGTGAGTGGACTCTTGAGTCCTTTCTGTTCGCGGAACAGGCTCTTAAATGCGATTTGTCCCCGACCTGTAGGAGGTGGAGCAGCTGCGCCTTGAGCGCCTGCAGATTGACGAGCAGCTCCGTCAGATCGGGGTTGGGTACCGCGCGCCTACCGGCCGAACCGGGGGCCCTGGTGTTGATCGAGAGAAAGGCTACCTGACAGATGAAAGCACCAATTCACTCCACACTCGAACCTACGGGGGCCGCGGCAGAGGGCGAAGGGCCTCCAACAGTCAGTACTCCGGATATGGTGAGAGTTACAGAGTTCAAATTTGACTTTAATGTGCGGTTGTAATAATACAATACAGTAATAGTACAACATAAGATTCAGTCATGAAATAAATTAAAAATAATTTTTTATTTGATTGTCTACCTAATGCAGGCACAAACTCTGAGCTGTCCAATGCCTCTGAGCCAGAGGACCTCACCGAGCGAGACCAGAGGCCCCGTGGAATAGGCAACGATGAGAGGGGATCCCGACGGGGTGGTAGGGGCCGAGGATCCAACTCAGGACGAGGTCGCGGAGGGCCAGGATCCAAGCCTTCGAACTCAATCAGCTCAGGTAACCCTCTTTGTACCTAATGACACATATGGCATCTCTTTTCTCCCAAAAGATCATAACAAAGAATGGGAGAAACAATTTTCTTCTCTTTACAGCTGTCTGAAGCCTGAGCTTGCCCGAGCTTGCAGCTTACTTGAGCTGACTTCTTTATTTATGACTGCTAAGTTTAACATGAACATCCACCTTAGTAACAGTCTATATAAGAACTTTAAGATTAAGAAACCAAATGTATTTTTGGTGCAAGCAGCTACTGAAGATTTTCCGAGAAGCAGCGGGCAAGCAGTTTTTTGTAATTGAGCCTGAAAGGTGTGGTCCTCTTAATGAAGTGAAGAGGAAAAACCTGAAAAACCTCTAAGCTTCATCCTTCAGTCAGAAAAGGTTTACTGCAGGTCGTTATGTTAAAACTGCACTCATTAAATGGAAGAAATGATACACAAGTGTTAAACTATTGTTTTGTCACCTGAACAGTACTGAAGGACCCAGACAGTAATCCATACTCCCTGCTGGAGGGTGAAGGAGAGCTGGCTGACGCAGACATCAGTGAAGGCATGGGAGACCGCCGCAGACGATCCCGTCGCCGCCGGAACGACCAGGAGCCCAGTGTCATGGACGCAGCTGCAGAGTCGGACAGCCAGGCCGGCCCGAGTGAGAACGGACTAGGTGAGAGTTGCGGTGGTGCGTTCTCCTTGTTGAAACTTGTTGCCGTGCGTTCGTGGTTAGTCGAGCAGAAATCCGAAACTTTTGGAGGGAGATGATCTACATTTTCTAATTTGACTGTTAGATGAAGAAGCCCGGCCTCAGCGCCGCAACCGAAGCCGCCGCCGCCGTAACCGTGGCAACCGCCCAGAGGGAGGTTCAACCAGCCGTGACAGACAGCCAGAAAGTGGTGAGTTGCTGTCCTTTTACTAGTTTAGCTATTTTACTTTCCACTTTCAGAATGAAAACACCCCAGCTGCTGTTCTAGCTAACAGACTTCAATGTTTCCAGTGACTGTTGCTGACTACATATCCCGCGCCGAGTCCCAGAGCAGACAGAACCTGCCCCAGAAGGAAAACCACGCTGCCCCTGAGCCCAAGGTACAAGCTGACATATGCACAGACACTATCCCCCCCCCACCCCCGATGTTTCGGTTATATATCGGCTACATTTTGAAGTTCATTTTGTCATTTGCGTTCATTCTAAGTGAATGAGGCGATTGATTCACCAGGGGACAGTTCCTCTCACAGAGCAGGCTGAACTTAGCCAGGCTATCTTTGCTTTTGCTGCCATGACAGAAACTAAAACGCCCCTCAGAGATAATCTCTCACAGCATTGGTTATCACCTTTCTTTCTTAACGCTACGTTCACCAAGGCAGCAGAGCAGAACAAGGGCTACTGCAGTTTTAGCTTGTTCATGAGATGAAGCACTCAGGGTGAGGGCAGCTATTATGTACTTAAAAAAGCATAGTTACACCGTGTTCCCCTCCTGCTTGCAGAAAAATGATCTAATTCTGTGGTAAACAAGGCAGTGATCTCAGCTTTAGCTCAGTGACAATTCTCACTTTGATCTACGTTTTGCACCCACAGGAGAACGGCACCACCGCCAAGAAGGAAGAGCGAACGCCCTCGAAGCGTTCCCCCAGCAAAGGATTGACCTCGCCCAGCGAGACCCTGACCTTGGTCAACGGGGTCTCATAAAGAGACGAGCGAACCCTTGCGAACCCAAGTCTAGAGCAAGACTCCATGGCAAACTCTGTCCCTGCTTGCATTAACTTAAACCTTAAACAGATGAGTGAAAAAGTACCTGACAAAATACCTGAGTTCATACTACGAGAGTGAAAAAGTACAAAAAAACGACAAACGCATCTACTTAAAACCACACGTTAACGGTGTATGCTATCCTATCTATCAGTACTTAGTGCTTATTTAAAAGAAAAAAAAGAGGAAAAAACAACTAGCTTGCCAAAAAAGAGCTGGTGGATATGACTTGATTTTTAAAAATACTGAAACACGAGAAACAGGACGAGACGTTTTTTTTTTTTTTTTTTGTTGTTGTTGTTGTTGTTTGTTTTTTGTTTTGAACTGTTTGTCTTTATTTCTGTTAATGTTAATTTTGTTCATTGTTTATCACTGGTTTCGACTCGGCGGTCGCTCTCTCAACCAAAACAGACGCATCTCTTTATAACGGTGTTTAAAGTGCACACAGGAGAGATGTAAAGCTGTATGAGCAGACAGTCCGGCTCATGTGACGCCATGTTCGCACACTGAACCTGGGAGTGAAGACGGATTGGAATACAGATAGACATTGTGCCTTGAATTTGAAAAACAAATATATATATATAAACACATAAAACAAAAAAACAAAAAAAACTTGAGTTTTTTTTTTTTTTTTCCATTAAGTTTGTTTTTGAGGGGAAGAAAATGAGTTCTTCTTCCAGGTTTTTTTTTTTTTTTTTCTGTTTTTGGTTTGAAGGAGAGAACAGATCTGTGAGGGAGTGATGAGGAAAAACAAAAACAAAAAAAGAGGATGCAGAAACAGATGGCGTGGGTGGCCGATGTGAGGAAAATTCAATCTGGTGCCAAACGCGAAATTCAAGGCGCTTGTTCTCATTCCGCGTAGAACGGACGGCGTTAGGGGAGGTAAGTGTGGGGGAATGGAAGAGGAGCGGGGTCGGCGCGTGTGTCTGTCTGTGTGTGAACAGTTGAGACATTTGGCAACAACAAAAATTTTAAACTGAGAGCGGATGACGTGGGGAAAACCTAACGTAGCCCCGAGGGGCGTTGTCACGGCATGCGTCTCTTCCTCCTCTCGCCTGTTTCAGGTCCTTGGAATTGTTCCAGGGCCGGCACCCCGGTGCAGCCCCGCAAACAGGATGGGCTGAGACCAGACCGACCGCACACTTGAACTGTTAAGATTTCGACTTAGAGAGAACTACACCGTGCCTCTTTCTGTGTCAGAGGGGCGGCGGCGCTAGCTTCCAGCCACACTTAGTGTCTTGATTAAAACCACTGCAGTGCACAGCTCCAGACGCACACGAAAGGGGGAGGAGCGCGACCACCTTTTCTGGGACGGGTGCTGCTAGTGACGTGGGAAGGGGTGGGGAGAGCCTGGAGACTGCAGACTGTGGGAACGGGACAGCTTAAAATGACATGAGAGCCACACGACACACAGGCCCACATTTACAGGTACACACACACCAGGTCGGCGTGGTTGCCCGCGTAGTGCAAAAGTAGAGGACCCAAAAACTCTGAGCGAGCGAGGTTGTCCGTCTTTTGTACCTGGCGGTTTGGGGTAATTTTTATTTGTTTTCTTTGTTTTCGGCATACGGAGTAAGAGACGGACTCGAAAACCTCAGCGGCTCTCTGCTCATGTTGTTACTGTTGTCTTGGTTGTCGCTCTCAAGTTCTTTTTGTTGCTCTTTCCACATCGTAGAAAATATGAAATAAAAAACTGAAGTGAAATCAACCTCTTCTGTGGAGATGAACTTTGATTTCTCTTGTCTTGTGAGTTTGCAGTCTATTTTTCTAACTTGCATGGCCATTCGAGTAGTAGGTGGTGCCTGTCCTGTGCATGAGGAAAAAAGGGGTGTTGTTAATCTGACTTACAAAGCCATTGTTTCATTCACTAGAATTGCTGCTAATGTACACACTGAATGTCCAACTAACGTAGAAACTCTACCATGAAGAGAGGAAAAAGAACTATTTGTGACTGATTTTTCTGTTTTTTCTCTCTCTCCCCCTCCAATACTTATATATCTGCCCAGACCCCCAACCCCCCACACACACTCTGTTGGCGGGTACGAGTCAGGAAGGGACCGGTTCCTTTTACTTACAAGTTTTCAGAGTTTCAAAAGTGTTAAATTGTGAAATTACAAAGGGCGACATTGTGCATGACAAGCAAGCATCCACATGACCAAAGGTTTTGAGAGACAGACGAATGGGAGTGTGGTTGACTCAAGATGACCCAGATGCTGCTGTTTTACATTTCTGCTCACCTGTATGTTGTGTTTTTAGAGGATGATCGAACACTTGAGTATTTGTACCTTGGTTCAGTTGCATGTGTGCGAGTGGAGGATGAAGCCTTGCGTGGTATGTTTGTGTTTACCTTTATACCTCATTGTGTGAGTACTGTATTCCCTAATGTATCTGTATCCCTCGCGTCCTGTTGAAAGACTGCTGCGTGTGTGTGTGCGTGCGCGCACGTGCGTCTGCGTGGATGCTGGTTGTACAGTCGACTCCTCACTCTGTCAGATTTTGTCTCTGGTTTTCTCACTCATGTTCTGATGGCAATAAAGGACTTTTCATTGTTTGGTATACATTTTTTTTTTCTTTTTAACATATACGAAACAAACCACATTAGATTAGGATGTTATGTTGATGCGAGTGTACTTCAGTGTAATAATTAGGGGACGATCACAATGGTGTCTTCTGAGTTGTAAAAAGAAAAATTATGGATGATATAACTGTTCCTACTGCAGTGTTAAATTTGTCCCAGGCTATTTTAAGCAAGCCTATTTTGAATTTAAAGAAGCATCGTCTGTTATTTCCAGTATTTGGTTGGCCATTATCTCACACCCCCCCTCCTACCCTCTTTTCATTAAAAAATTTTCAGTAAATGAGCATAGTGAGGTTTAATTAGATGTGAGGAAAATCTTTCAAAGAACCATTTTTGCACCTGAAAGAACAGATTTTTAAAGGGATTTAAGACCTTTGTTCAACTACCAACCGTTCATGGCAGATAGTCAACCCTCTCTGAGCCTGGTCTTCTCCTGCAGGCGTCTTCCTGTTAAAAAGTTTGTTTTTTGTTTTTTCTCCCCACTGTCACCAAGTGCTTGCTCATAGTGGGTGGTCTGTAATATTTTAAGTTTTTTATTTTACAATATAAAGCATGTTAAGGTGACTTATTGTGATATGGAATAATTAAAGTAAAATACTTTAAATGTCTAATACAGATATGAGACCCCACCCTCTATCTGATCAAATGTCTCTTTAAAACGTGTACTTTTACACAGTAGTGATTCAGCGGGGTATTTACAGCAACATAGTTTCTATTTGCCCGTACAAATGGTGAGTCATCACCTCTTTAGCCCATCTTAAGGATGAGTGCAGATCGCTATAAATGAAAACGCAGCTGATCAAATCTCAAAGCAAAAAGAGACACATGTGTGATTAAAAGTGCTTGAAATAAACCAAGAAGAGAGAAATGTACTATAATACAAGAATATGGCTGCTTTCTTTGATAGACAGCAGCTTCTGCATTAAAACTGATAGAAGTCACAAGCTTTTAGAGACAGGGTGGTGGAGAAACATCCTTTCATGGTTGTGTTTGCAGAGTTTGACTTTACGTACATACATAAATCTGATGGTGGATACAAAAAGGATTTTTTTGGGGGGGAAAATGAAAGACTTTATTCAGCAGGTAAGGATATTAGTATATTATACCCAGAGTTTCGCCAAATTAGTGTCCAGTATAATCCAGGATTTGAGACTGGACATTGGCTCTTTTGTAACATTCTGTTGGGGGACATTATAATGTGTAGATGTTAAAGAGTGATAAATATAAATGCACCTCAAACATTAGTATGAGTAGATGATAACAATGTAGGCTACATAAGTAAAGGTAAAACAAAAGGAAATTCATGCAGTACTCACACACTGGGAAAAATATATTGATATATATGGCCAGTAGTATAACATCCTTTTATTTACCATCAGCCTATTTCTTCAAGGCAACTGGTGCTACTGTGCATGACATCTTACATAAAAAGGTTTTATGGCTTGAGACACACATTCACAACAGCTTGCCCTCAGCAGGTTTCCTCCTTGTTAGATAAAGAAGTGATTTTATCAAAACTGGGGTGTCACCTGATTAGTTACCCTAAGTAATGATGAGTCAACTCCTTTGCGTTTTTCTGTCTGCGTCTCCCTCTACTGGAAGTTTACTGTTATGTCACATTTGCAGACTAACTGCTAAATAAATGTCTTAAGTTGTAAGTTTTTAAGGGGCATTTTAGCAAAAGTAAAGCAGTGGTTCAATGATGAAAAACAGTCTTAGTTTCACTCATAAGAATATGTCATTCTAATAATCTAATGCTGATGCTAAATAAGTAATGTTTAATAATGCACTGCAACCTCATGTAAAAAGATCTAGCTACATTAGTAATTGCTTTTTGTACACAGATGGCAATTTGAATAATTCTATAATTTTATATACTGTGTTTAAAAAAAAAAGCTAAATTACACAAGATCATATGATCTTAATGTTGTTATTATTTAGATTTTAAGATGTTATCAACATGCCCTTCAAATACTTGCTACTGATAAGAGATAATGATGTGAGTTAATGATACTTAGCTAAGGAGAAAAAAAAATATTCAGCTTTAAATTTGAAGGAAGTTCCATTGAGTATTATAACACAAGTTTCAGACTGACCCAGTGGTTATTATCTAAGCCGGTTAGTGACACCAAGAATTTCCAATTTCCATAATTTGACGTGCAGCAGTCACATGAACTGTGAAGGTAAAGCAAACACAGGTTCGGTGTTAGAGAAGACATGAAAAACAAGAGCAGCGCCTTATTTTGCGTACTTGTTGTTCTCCTTTGCTGCTCACTTATGTCGGGTTGTGAGACATCGATTCTGCGCAGTTTACGACATTTTTACTCTCATATATTAAACTTTTAACTTAGAAATAAGTTCTATAAGTTGTCACTATTCACTCACTGCGTTTACTGTGAGCAATACAACGAGAGGTTAAGGCCGTCTTTTTTTAAGCATTTATTTTTAGTGTCCGATTTAGATATAGAAAACAGAAACTTGGTTTCGGTTTTCGACAAGCTAAAGGCGCTCGTTACAAAACACTCGTTCGCGCTACGCCCCGTCACTCTAGTGCAGCGGAAGCGCTTTCAGAATAAAACTAAACCCGTCACCCAATGGCAGCTCGGACTTATTGAGAGACACACCTTCCCACCAATCAGATTCTTACGTGCGCTTCTACCGCCAGCAGATATCTACTACTCATCTTTGGAGTTTCGACCTCGCTGTTGCACAGTTCACAATCAGTGAGTATGGTAGTTTTTGGTGTTGTTCTCCTGTCCTTTTCCTAAGGTGTCATCATTTTACTTTTACAGACTCACAATTGCAACGTCAGACATTTTCAGTTGTTAAAGTTATTTTTTATTTTGCTAGCCAGTTCGCGTTCGCGTGAGTGTCGGTAACGAATATTAGCTTGCTAACAGCAACCTGGCTAGCAGCTTAACAGCCAGGAAGTGCAAACACGAAACTTACTGAACTTAGGTTTTGCTGAAGTCCCCCGAATTTGACCGCTTTAGGCTAACGCTGGTGGCTAATTTTAAATACGAATGCAATGAAAGCTAAATATGGGCGATGACGATAAATGGAGTCATCGCTTTACTGTGGTGGCCCTCCTCGCTCGACTCCATTACAAGCTTTCTATTTCCTCATAATGACGTTGTACATTCACTATTGGGACCCAGAAAGCTTTCTCTAAGCTCCCTTTTTGTAAAACCACTATGAACCGCGCCTTTATTCTGCCCCACCTCGCTTTTAAACATGTACAGCAACGACCTGTGTGGAGGGTGGGACCAGCAAGGAACCGAAAGTCAGTATGAGCTCGTGCGCTTGTTTAGGACCGCGGTCAAGTGAGCCTCACATGCGAAGTGACAGTCAAGCTAGCCGCACAGTCAGCCGCGCCTACGATGTTGTTGCACTTTTCTTACGGATATTACGGTACAGGTGCCGACAGGCTTAGAAACACAAGTCTTCTTATTCATTTTTCACTATTTCACAACTCATTCCACTTCTAGCTTTGAAATATTAGCTAATCATAAATTATAATTCTTACACTACACATTGAAAATAACAACAACAAAAAGTACAAATTCTGTAACAGTGCAGTGTTGTCAGAGTTATCTACCGGTTGCACCTGTTGCTCCACTCCCACAAGGCTGGTAAGCAAACTGAAGAGGGTTGACACTGACAACACTGTATTGGTTGGGTGTACTGAGGGTGGGCAGAAATCGGAGCACAGGAATCTGGTGAGGAACTTTTTTGAGTGGTCTGCATGAAATCACCTCTTCCATCTGAATGTCAGTAAGACAAAAAAGATGCTGGCTGACTTCTGAAGGAAAAAACTGGGACTATGCCCATCGACGACATGGTTGTGGAGGTCAAAACATTGGACAGCTACAGGTATTATGGGGTTCACCTGAATGACAGACTAGACTGGATGACATAGGTCACTGAAAAAACTGCTCTCCATCATGGACAATCCATTACACTTGCTCCATTTCACCCTTGTGAAGCAGCAGAGCTCCTTCTAACTGATCCAACATTTCAGCCCTGAAGAACACTTCAGGAAATCATTCCCAGTGTTCTCTCTGTAAAAGTGTACACTAACTTTTCAATATGGTATCTGTTTATGTTTAGTTTTCTGTCAAACCGTACAGTTCATTAGGAGGAAGAGTCAGGGTGACCTAGGGTTAGAATCCAGTGAAATATTTGTGTCACCTCATACGGGTTCCCTGTATTATCAGCTAAAAAATGAAATTATTCAAAGTACAGTACAGAAATTTCTCAGAAACCGTACAATTCAGAGAGCTGTGAGGCGGAAGAGGAAGAGTGAGGGTGATCCAGAGTAAGAATCCAGTGAAATATTTGCATCATCTGTAATAGTTTTCCTGTAATAAATGCTAAAAAAAAAAAATACACAATATCAAAAATACCGTTTTGCAATTTTATTAAATTGGGGATAAGATCAAGTTGAATAGAAATGTACAGTATAGTGAGAAAATTGCAAATATTTCAAAACTCTTGATTAGACTCTTGTGTGTATATAAGCCAGTCGGCACCCGTACCGTAATATGTATAAGAAAAGTGCAACAACATTGTAGGTACGGCTGGTGGTGCAGCTTGCTTGACTGTCTCTTCGCTCACTTGACTGCAGTCAGCAAAAGTCAATAACAGGGTCCCTGCACGACTCATCGTCACTTGATGTGACATCACGTGGACGTGGGGCTTTTTTCTGACAGACACCCTTTTCTTCTATGCCTTGCAAACACAGTTGCTTGGTGTAAATTGGGGGAAAAAAATCATAGTCTGGGTAAAAAATGCAGTCAACAAGGCAGCATTTGAGTTATTCTATTTCTTTCTCTCTATTTGTGTATTTATGAAAGTCTTAATAAACATATATATGAGTTAATCCCTCATACTGGAACACCAAATATTAGTTGCTTTTTTTTTTCTTTTTTTTTTTGGAGCAGGCGCTCTGCTTGTTGGTCTTGTCAAGCCAGAATAATAATAATGGATACTTTATTGATCCCCATGGGGAAATTACTTGTTTTTCTCTGCATTTGACCCATTCACTCAGTGAAGCAGTGGGCAGCCCACTAAGCAGGCGCCCGGGGAGCAGTGTGTAGGGACGGTACCTTGCTCAGGGGTACCTCAGGGTAGCTGTTAAGTGGATTCGAACCGCCGACCTTCCGATCATGGGGCGACCACTTTACCTACTGAGCTATCCCTGCACCACAATAACACAATAATAACTTGTGGTTCCTTGTTTTGTTGCGTATGCAGTGAATCAGGGTGAAGTGTAAGAAAGTTGAAACAAAGCAAACAAACAGGGTTTATTGTCACTGAGGGGCACTGTCTGATGATTTACTGAATGAAGCAGAATTTTCTTTACACACAGAAGGCTGTTGGAAGCTGTCTAGCTTACTGCTGCCTTTTGTCTCCGCCCTCTGCTGTTGTGAGTGGCAGCACTTACAGAACATGTGTATGTCATGTTAGTTTGCTACCTGTTGTAGACGAGCGACACCGTCTTTATTTGCATTGGAAAAGTGACGTACATATATCCTTCTCAAGACTAGTGTTAACACCCTTTAAGGTGTTCTGCCACATTAATCATCAACCCATTTGTTTTGTTACTTCTGATTCCTAAAAAGCAAAAACACCCACCCAAACTCTTCAGTAAACGGTACTGTGTTGGAGATCAGGACAGAGGCTTATTTTATTCTATTGTGGATTCTGATGACACATCCTGTGTTTACCTTTTGTAGGTACTACACTGGAGCAACAATGGTAAAGATCTTTATCGGTAACCTCTCTCAGAACACTGAGAAGGATGAGATTGAAGCTCTGTTTACTCAGTACGGCACAGTAACAGAATGTGCCAAGTACAAAAACTATGCTTTTGTTCACATGGAAGACCGCAAATCTGCCACCAAAGCAATCCGTGAACTGCATCTTCATAAGCTGAATGGCAGACCCATCAACGTAGAGCCAAGCAGAAGCAAGAACCAGGGCCCCGTGAAGCTTCACGTGGCCAATGTGGAGAAGGGCTTTGACAAAGAGCTCCGTGACCTGTTTTTGGAGTATGGCAATGTCACGGAGTGCTCCATCGTCAAAAACTTTGCCTTTGTGCATATGCCTAATTCTGACGAGGCTATGGATGCCTTGCAGGGCCTGGATAATACAGAGTTTCAAGGTAAGCGTAAATGTTTGGGTCTATAAGGGGTTTTTCAGGGGTTCCTTACTTTTTAGATTTGAGGGACAATGTTTTTCTCTCTCGCAGGGAAACGCATACACGTTCAAATATCAAAAAGCAGACCGAGAGGGGAACCAGAGGAGGAGGAGTATCCACCTCCGCCTGTGAGAGGAGGCTATTTTCCTCCTCCCTTTCCAGGGGAGAGACCCGAGCCTCCCTACAGAGGCCGCATGTCCGCTTACCCTCCTCCTCCTCCGCCCCCGCCACCTCCCCCTCCTCCGAGACGAGCAGCGTATCCTGATCGTGGCTATGGCGATCGAGAACCTTATGGGGTGGTCGATTTCTATGAGAAATACAGAGCCCGTCCTTACGCCCCGAACTTCGATGACAGGCGTCCCAGTGCCATCCCCCCTCCACCCCCTCCTCCCTCTGCATTGGTTAGGGAGCGTCTCGGAATGGGCTCTCTTGATCCGTATGAGCGGCGTCCACTGCCCGCTCCTGCAGGTTACATGGCGAGGGATCGAAGCCCTATCAGAAGAGCCCCCCCTCCGCCTGCTCCTGCAGCTGGTAATGGTTACTCCTACGAGCGTTCTCGATTGTCTCCGATGTCAAGGGCGCCAATGTACGCAGTTCCCCGTCCCCGGGAAGCCTACTCGGCGAGAGTGCCGCCGCCGCCACCACCACCGCCGCCGCCTCGCTATGCAGGCTATTAAGACACCTCGAGTGTAATACAAGGTGAGAACAAAGAGTGGATGCTTCATGAACTCATTAATCACATTGATAACAAGCAGAAATGACACGGAAACAAAAGTTATAATAGACATGAGAGCTGAATCCGTTAATTGAGGTAGAATCACGCTTTAAACCATCAGCCAAAACTCAAAATTTCCTTCAGGTTAATAATAAAGGAATTTAAACGGTGCTGCTAGAATCCTAAAATATTATTGCTTGAACTTCTCAGATCAGTGTTGCGCGAATCCTAAGTAAAACGCGCTCCTTGACATGTGTGGTGTGCTCTTTTTCCAGGTTTAGAATATGACAAGATCGTCGTCGTCTGCTGATGCACGTGGCGCTATACGCACCCCTCCCCCCTCCCATGTCTATGGCGGATTGCGTTGCGTTTGCTGAGACTTACTGGAAGATACTGTATTGCGGACAGCCCCGTATTTAAAAAATATACGATTTCTTTGTCTGCAGTTCTTCTGAGCTGATCATGCCTTTTTCTCCTCCTCTCTTTGTTTTCCTGTTAAAAGCTTTCAAAATGTTTTGCAGAATAGGTGCTTGGACTTCCAGTGTGACCAAAACTGGACACTCTGCTTTTCAATTTTTCTAAGTGGAAAATGTAATCTGGGAAACTGTGACCTATTTCTTCTTTTTAGAACAAGGGATTCATTTAGATACAAATACGTGTAGGCTTTGTAAGCAAAAATTGTTTATTTTAAGATTGTTGGTTGATTACAAAATGCTTATTGATCCAAGTTTTAAAGAAATTTCAGCATAGTAGTTCTTAAATACAACACCTGCTGTTGGAGGTTGTACAGCAATCTTTAAGATTTGCGACACATGTTAGCATGAAGTTTCAGTGTGGTTTTGTTCTTTTTACACTTTGTGTTCTTTTCATGCGACAGTAGACTCCTTAGCCACCATTTATGTATGATTTTTATTTACTTTACAGACTGCTTTTTTTGAAAGCTTTTTAATAAATGAATAAAACAAAAAAAAAAACATTTTAACTGTGAAATTATTCCTCGTTGCGTTGGCCTCTTAGGACGAAAACCAATTCGTCAGATAAGATTTAGCTTTCTTTACTCTTGAAACACTTTCAGTTTCACTCTTCAGTCCTGATATTATCAGCATGACACATGGTAGGTGTTTATTTATTTTTTTTTAATCCTCAGCTCACTACTAGAAAACCTGCCAGACTGGTTTTCCATGTAAAGTGTGAAAAACTATAATGCTTATTAACCCCCTGCCCCTCTCCCCCCTTTTTGTGACACACCCGAGACTTACCACTGCCTTCTTGAAGTCTTGCCAGGTTAGACTGCAAAAAGAAACCAAAAGTTGATTTAACTTTAAAGCTCAAATCCAGCGCAGTTAATGAAGTACGGAAATGTCCACTCCCAAAAGTCGCAAAAAAATAGGCAACTTAAACTTCCGTTCCACTCTGTGGCTACACAAAGACTTTTTTTAAAGCTGTGTACACCGGCTTCTCCGTGTTTTGAAGTCACATTTCGTCAGTCATCTCCCATTGCCTACCTTGGGTTTTTCATCGATGGCCCCATGCTTCTGTCCAAAGTTTATTTATTTGTATCATCCTTCATTTCATACATTTTAGTCCTTTTTGTACTATTTCTAAATTAATATATGTAACACATGAAATGCGCGTGTGATATTCTTAGCCTGTGTGCTCTTTATAGGTTGTTAGATTCAGTGCAGGAGATGCCAGCTCATGGTAAATCCTCAGAAGATGTCCAGCACCCAGATTAAAACAGGTACATACTGCTTAAACTGTGGTATTGCAATAAATGATCACACTTTGTCTTCTTGGATTCATACTTTTTCTGCTGTTGCAGTTTTGAAAGTAAAAAAACAAACAAACCCTGGCACTTACAATAATGGTAATAACTTTTAAAAAAATGCTGTGGTATTTTGTTTCAAAGCACTTTAATATTAATCTTAAAAGGTGCCATATAAATAACATTTTACTTAATAACATTTTAGCAACACTGTCTCTCTTTGTTAGAATTGATTCATGTAGATTGAAGGCTTGTTATGGAGTCTTTGAATCTGTGTCTTTGTTCACAGACGTGTCTTTCCTCTGGCACTTGCTCCGGGTCTAGAAGTGAATTCAAAGGGGATTACAAGCTGGGAAGGACCTGGTTAGAATGCAGTTTAAGGTAAAGGGACTCTTCTTTGATCAGTTCAATTTGTGAACCTTGTTTAAAGTGTCTGCTCTTACAGGGTATGGATTTTTGTCCCTCACTGAAAGTTTGAATGATTGGTTGATGAGTTGGAGTGAACATCATGGGCGATGGGACGGCTGTGTCGCTACATCTCTGCTTTGATTGGAGGGTAAAAAAAAAAATGTGGGAAAGAGGGAAATACGACAACTAAGTGGTTTTCCTATTTTAAATGTAATTGAAAGTTATTGTATGTTGCAATTGACTACAAGGACCTACTTTTTGTCTTTTTTTTTTTTAACTCCCATTTTCTACCTTTTGAATTTTAGCTATTATGAAATAAACAATTTACATTCGAAAATGTTGTGATTTCTTTATTTCTATTTTTGAAAGTTAGCATCATACATCATACAGTACGTTAGGGTTATATGATAGTGAAGTTTTTAATTATCTTTTTTTAAGTTGCATAAATTCAACTGCTCCTAAGCAGCCAATCACATGCTAGCGACTCAATGCATTTACGCATGTAGAACTGGTTAACACAGCCTGCTGGCATGGGTTGTTCTGATCTACTGGGATTTAAAACAAAACCTTTTTCCAGGCAACTATCTCTAGGGTGTAAGACATTAAAAAAACAAAAAAAAACAAAAACCCAGTTCTTTGTATTATAAATAAATATTTTTGTTGGTGTCCAGTGTCAGACGAGAATTAAAGTATGCAGAAGAGAATCTCTGAATTCTCAACATGTTGAACTATAAAGCAGATGGGCCACAGTAGCAGAAGACCACACCAGGGGTCATAACAGGAAGCTCGGGCTGCATTTTGCACAGGCTCACCAAAGTATGACGATAAAAGACTGGAAAAATGTTGGCTAGTCTGATAATTCTTAATTTCTGCTGTAACCAAATATTGGTGTAAACATCATGAAAGTGTGGATCCACCCTGCCTCATGTCAAAGGTTCATGCTGCTTCTGATGCTGCGAGCATGTGGAGAATATTTCTTGGCACACTTTGGGCCCTTGAGTACCAAGTGAGAATTGCTTATATGCCACAGCTGCCCAAGTATTGTTGACCATCCATTTATGGTAGTAGCCATCTTCTGATGGCTGCTTGTAGCAGGATAACATTTCATGCCTCAAAGCTCAGATTATCTCAAACTGGTTTCTTGAACGTGACAGTGAGTTTGCTGTGCTCCAGTGGTTGTCAGTCATCAGGTCTCAGTCTATAAGGACACCGTTGGAATGTGGTGGAACCGGATTTTTACAGCATACATTTGCAGCAACTGTGTGATGCTATCGGTATGTCAATATGGACCAAAATGTCTGAATCTATGCCATAAAGAATTATGGTTCTGAAGGCAAAACTCATACTAGTAAGGTATATCTAATAAATTGTCAGATGACTATATATTTATGCCAAATCACAACAGCGGTTGCCTCAAGGAGCTTTATATTGTAAGGTCTACAATAACATGGAGAAAACCCCAACAATCAAACAACCACTTAGTGACGGTGGGAAGGAAAAACTTTCCCTTTAACAGGAAGAAATCTCCAGCAGAACCAGACTCAGGGACGGGGGCCATCTGAGATGTCTGGCTGGAGATGAGGAGAGGAAGAACTTTATAAAAAAGGAAAGTTTTAAGCCTAATCTTAAAAGTAGAGAGGGTATCTTCCCCTGAATCTAAACTGAGAGTTGGTTTCACAGAAAAGGGATCTTAAACCAGAAGGCTCTTCCTTCAATTTTACTTTTAAATATCCCAGGAACCACAAGAACCCAGCTATGTGACAGCAATGTGTTCTTTCGGGGCGTTATTATGAGATCTTTAAATGTCACATATCATTAATTACAAGTGGTTGGTTGATTTGAGCACAAAGCATCTATAAAAGTCAGACTTCAGCATATAAACTGACTTAGACTGATGCTGCTTTGGTTTCAGGCCGAGTGCAAAAGTGTAGTTTTTGAGCTACAAAGTGTTATCTTCACCAGAGGGGTGTGGAACTGCCTGCAGCATTAAAACATACAGTCATCACATACTCCCTCCCCAAAAACCTAAAGCACAATGAGTCAGTGTGATTTTATTTGCACGATTCCACAGCTGTGCTTATTCAGCACTCACTAACATGATGTTATTTGTGAGAAACCAGACAGTTAAAGCAGAGGAGTGTTGAATCCAGGTTTTAAACAGATGTTTCCACTGAGTGAGGGGCAGAATGCATAGATGGATACTATAGTTGCCTAATCAATGAACAGTGAAACTGGAAGTGAGTTCATTGGATCTGCTAAAGAGCGAAGTATCATTTCCTCTAGTCCCTAAGTCACTTTCCCCTAAATCAAACAAATACTTGGAAATCGTGTGCGCTCATCCAAGAAGAATTTTTTTTTTTAATACTTAGATTTTGAATTGTTATTTCTTTACTTCTTATTCTTTATCTTCAGTCTTTTGTAGTGGACATCAAGTCTTATTTGGTCACAGAATTATATTTTGTCTCATTTTTATGTGGATTTATGGCAAAGTTAAATTTTTAGTTTATTTCACGTGAATTACAACAGATCAATGAAACATATTGGAATACTGAAAACTGGTTAGGTCATGTCACCAGTGGCACTTCCATGATCATAGCTGGTATGACAGAGTGCTGAGTGAAGCATTTTCCTCAAACTGTTGAAGGGGGACAGACATTAGAGCTGGAAGGTGAAAGTTCAGGCCAGGGTTTGAGGAACTTGAAAGGGGCAGAATAACAACACCCAAAGTCCATTATGGAAGCTAAGGCTTTGAAGTTGTGGGATTTGGTTTCTTAGTTGCCATACAGGACACCAGCCAATGAAGGGAATCGTCTTTCCATGACAGCACTGTTTGAGAGAGTTCTCACCTCCCAGAGGACGTTCTTTCAGAGATATCAAGATCGTTACTTTGATGGGCTGCCTAATCTTGAAGAATCTGCCTCGATTCATAGCTACAACCAGAAACCTGTAAATTCAGATCTGAGGTTATCCACATACACAATGTTTTCATGCCTAATGCTATCTTCGTAGTTGAGGACATCCCTCTGGTTTGTGTGCTCTGACCTTTACGTTTCTCTGAAACTTGGATGCATCTTTTCTGTTTGACATAATTAGAGGACCAGCTGTCTTGGTAGTTGTGGGCAGATTTTTTCCTGTTTTCATGTTTCATGGTGAAAAACCATTTTCACCATTTCTGAATAATTTGAACTCACTTGATAAAGACAGGAGAGATACAGTTAAATGTACTTTTAGAACAGTAATTAAATAAATCAACAGGGGGAAGAAGAAATCTATTCATTCTGCTCAACTGATTTCTCCTGACAGTATATAGGACTCGTATAGATTGCATAAATGATGTTTTAAGTAGTGGTCTCACACAATTACGTCCTCCACAGAGCACAAAAATACATTGCTAGATATCATTTAGAGTATGTGAAACTCGTACAACTACCGCCTGCATGGCAGCGACAGTGACCACATTCCAGACTAGGAATGCCTTTTTTCAACTCTATAAATGTGTGTTGTAGTGGCGGCACTCCGTCTCTATTTCACTCTTCTGTTCCACCTTTAGGAGTCAGTCCGGCAACATGCATTTGAAACGCGAGCTAGTCCAAGTACTTTTCTTGCAAAAAATATGTTTATTGAAACTTTTAATTTACATGGCAAGACTCGTTCAAAAACTGTGTTGCCTCCAGCTTATCCGACTCCCCAACTACGTAATTACAGTGTGCCGGAAGCCCAAAATACTAAAAAGCGCATTAGAATGTTGCACTTCTATATTCTATACATTTAACAAACAGTATTTTAAAATCAACTAGAATTATATTCTTAACATCAAACATGTATATTTCTCCTCTAATCATTTTACCAGTACCAATAAAATTAACCTTTAATTGGCTCTTACATGTGTTGTTTCTAGAATAGTGCTGTGTTTTCCCCTAAGCTGCCATGGTTGTGTGGAGATCTCATATTTCTACAGGCTTGAAAGGTTACCGCTTCATCTCAATGATTTCTAGAAAAACCTGTTTCTGTCTTCAATGCAAAGCCACACTTTTTTCATTCTTTGATTAATGATTGCCTTAGAGTAAAGGGTTCCACCAAAAAACAAAAACAAAATAATCAACATGCAGACAACTGTATTCCAGATAAACTGTTTATTTCTCAGTCATAACTTTCAAACTTTGCACTTTAACAGTATTTGCAAAATTAACAATGCAGCTTATGTAGACAGGATACGAAAAGGGTGCAAAATATTGATTTCACATATACAAAGAGGGATTTCTTGTCTAATGTAATAAATGCACTGAGCATTAAGTCGAGTAAATAACAGCAAAAAAAGTCACACGTGAATAAGCAGTAATGGTTGGTTATGAATAACAAGGGAGAGTCTCATCACTCTCCTGGGGGCCAAAGGAGCTATCTTTGGGTGACAAACTAATCCTACTATCTGAGCATGTCTCCATGACTGGAGGAAGAGACATGGATGTCTGCTCCTTCCAGAGAGACGTGGATGTCTCTCTGGAAGGAGGTACTGCCAGCACCTCAAACTCTACCTCAAAGTTGGCCATGGCCTCACCAGACTCGCGGATGATCAGGATCTCATACTCTCCGAACCGGATCAGAGCTTTGTCTGGCAGATCCATTCTCTCCAGGTATCCCAGCGCTGAGGTGTTCACAGACAGTTTCCCCCTCTGGCTCAGATTCTGGATGATAAACAGCATCTCTGAGCTCTGGGGAATGTGGTAGGCGTAGAGCGCCAGCTGCTTACGGGACACCCGGGGATCAACCAGGATGTAGGCACAGGCCTGGTTGTCACGGCCCAGCCTGAGAGGGTCATCGGCAGCATGTCTTCTTCTGGTCCCCAGAGGAAGCCGATCATAAAAGTCGTTACAGCTCTGCTGAGGATGGTAAAGCTTGATTTGGAGGCAAGTCAGGAGGTCCTCCTCCGTCTCCATCGTCATAGACACATTCATTGTGAAACAATAACTCCAGATGAAAAAAAGAAGACAGCTGATAGTTAAAGAAAGGACAAAAAATAAAAACCAAACAACAAAATTAGTCATACAGTGAAAATAGACCATCTTATCTGTAAAGCAGGGTTAAATCGTATTGCATATAATCAACAAACATTGTTTTTTTAGATGCCTTACCTGAATGTGAAACTTTCTTAATTAAAGAACGAGGTTTTTATTCCATTCACGGGACAGAAAGAAACTGAGTTAGAAGAATCTAACGGTGCTGCTACTGCTGCGAAAACAGGAAGACTGATTGCTGCGCTTTGCAAGCTGTTGCCTTTTATTCAGCCAGTTTTCCTGTTGGTCCAACAGTGTTGCTTTCAAGTGCAAATCCGGAAATTTTACTCTCAGGTTGAATTAAATTTTGTGAATGCAACATAAAAGAAAGAAAAATACAAATTTTCATTCAAAAGCTGAAAAACATAGCATCCAAGAATTAGACACTACAATACACAGTACAGTTATTAAAGTAAAAGTATGTCCACTGTTAAATCAGGAGACTGGACAGTAATGGCGTTACGCAGATCTGAAATATTTATGTATGTTTGATTGCGAAGTCAATGCAAACAGTTTGCCACGTGAAATTAAAGAAAATGAAACAAAATGCTAATAAGAAAAATACTAATTCAACATAATTCACCGAAGTCTTTGTTACAATTTACATTCTTTTCCGCTGGTTTGCTGTACTGTGCGATTTTTAACGCGAGCACCTGAATGTAGCATTACAACACTGAAAATTCCATGATGACGCAACCCGGAGTAGACAGAAACGCTTTTAAAACTTCATTTGGAGCCGTGTATTATGATTATTTACAATACTTTTTATGTAAACAAAGCAGAGAAATAAAATACAGACATGCAAACATACAGAAGAAACAATTAGATGTGAAACAGAGGACATTAATGATGTTTTGTAAAAAAAATAAAAAATAAAAAAAGTAAATGAACCAAAAAAACAACAACATTTTTTTACAAGAGGATTGATCAACTAGTGATAATTTTTATGTTTTGCATATCTCGGCAGTCTTAACAAATTACTTATAGGGTTTTTTCAGAAGCAACAATGTTTTAAAATACAAAATGAGATGTGTTTCTTTAAACGCAGTATAACGGGGTAATCTGTTAAGGAATGTAATTTTATGTATGTCAAAATTTAGCTACTTATTTCAGAATGAAAAGTCGCTCTTCATTACTGGGGTGGCTGGGGTTAGTGAAAAATAATAATAATGTCATCAGAAGTGTCACAACCAGTTACTGTAAACAGACTCAACTAAAGACACTGCTTCCCACCCTGCGGTATTTACAACTATAACGGGAAGAAGCAACCTCGTAAAATAGACCGTTACACATTAACCAAGTACGTTTAAAACGTACTTAACTCTCTTTTCTTCACCATATAAATGTAGTTCTGAAATGTTACTGGTTAATAAATACGAAACGGGGTGACTTACAAAACATGGACAAAAGTGTACCGTAAGATAATGTAGGGTATTTATAACAAAGCACAGTGCTATAGCTAGTTTTTTTTATATTGTTATTATTTTTATTAGACATGCAAAGTAGAAAAATAGATATATTGTAGACTACTGGGTGTATAATATGTAACATTTAATGCGGATAAAAGTTGTAAAGTTGTAAAATTGTTGTTTTACCCGAAGACTTTAGATTACTGCGCACGCCCGGGCGGAGGGGGCGGTGCAGCTGGCTTTTTGTATGCCACAGGCAAGACACAACCGGAAGTTAGCAAAAGGAAACCTCTCGAAGGGGACTTCAATTCCTTTTTGTGAGCGCCGACTAAAAGGTAATGAAAATAGAAAATTTACGTCTTTATATAAATGCACTTGTGTGGCGCATAGGTATGTGTGGAGTACCCTGTTAACCTCGGTTCCTTTGTTCGCCCGCTAGCCTCGTTGCGCGAGAATATCGACTGCGCTGCTTTGTCTGTTAGCGTGGCTAACCGGGCTAACAGGCTACACGAGCGGCGTTTAAACTCTGCTCATTTGTTCTTTTTGTAGACATATACAGATATGAAAGAAACGATTTATTGATAATAATGATTTAAAGTTGTTAAATTGTTGGTACTTGTGCCGCCGTGAACGACTCTAGGTTTTTACTATGCGCGGGCCTGTTAACAACGCTGCTGTTTTTATAGACTCAGAAAGGGTCAAACGTACTCTTCAATAGTATGTACTAAAAAAAATTGTAACTATATGTTTTTCTCTCTCTTAACACTCTGCATTATCTCGAAACAGATTTGTAATCATGGTGAAGATTTTCGTGGGAAATCTGCCCAGAGCGACAAACGAGGATGAGATCAAGGCACTCTTTACCGAGTATGGCACTGTGACAGAATGTGCCATCATCAAAAACTTTGCCTTCGTCCACATGGACGACCGCAAGGCTGCCACCAAAGCCATCAAGAATCTGCACCTCTACAAGCTGCATGGCACGCCAATCAACGTGGAGGCCAGTCACGGAAAGAACCAGGGCTCAGTCAAACTGCATGTAGCAAATGTAGAGAAAGGATCTGATGATGAGCTGCGTGCTTTGTTCGAGGAGTACGGCACGGTCACAGAGTGTGCTGTTGTTAAGAATTTTGCTTTTGTACACATGTCCAACTCTGACGAGGCCATGGATGCCATCAAGGGACTGGACAACACAGAATTTCAAGGTAAGAGAGATTACCAACATTTATAAGGAGGTCAAGAAGAAACCTTAAAGTGTTGCCTTATTATAAACCAGCCCACATAACCTGTGTTTTTACTTTTTATTTTTTAATGTAGGCAAACGCATCCATGTCCAGATTTCCAAGAGTCGTCCCAGACATGAAGAACGGGATGATTACCCCCTCCTCCCCCAGACAGGGGTGGCTATTGGCCCCCACGCTATCCAGGAGAGTGGCCCGAGCCTCCTCCACCTGGCTACATGAGGGGTCGTCTTAGCCACATACCCCCAGGTTACCCTGCCCCTCCTCTGCCTCCCCCTCCCCCTAGACGAGCAGTTTATCCAGATCGCCCTTACGATGCTGAGAGGGACAGATATGGCGTGGTAGATTACTATGAGAAGTATCGAGCCCGTCCGTATGGCATGGCCACCTACGACGACCAGCGTCCCGGCGTGCCTCCTCCTCCCCCTCCCCCGTCAGCCGTCGTCCGAGACCGTCTTCCGAACTCGTCGCTCGACCCATATGAGCGTCGGCCCCTTCCTCCACCTCCTCCGTCCTCATACTACGCCCGAGATCGAAGTCCGCTTAGGAGACCGCCTACCACACCAGTGCCCCTGCCAGTAACGGCTACTCCTATGATCGCTCTGCATACGGAGTTCCACGTGCAAGGGACCCCTACGCAGATCGGCTGCCTCCGCCACCGCCTGCACGCTACGCTTATTAAGCAAGGGCGGCGCATTTTGAAGGTGAGGATAGGTCTGAGGTAGACTGGTGTTGCTCTTTCCTAAAACAGCGTTCCTGTAACGGCAGAGGCAGCCGGGGATTTGAAAAGCATGCGTACAAGGTGCTGTTCCACAAGTAAATTCGTTGGTAATGCACGTCGATCCATTTAACATGGCTTTTCAGATAACAAAATAGTACTAAGTGTGTTATAATACGACAAAGATGCACTGTTGAGGATGGAATCTCTGAATTTCGGGAAAAACAAGTCGAATTAGAAATTAACCTGGAAAAACGTCCTGTATTCAAGAGTTGCAGATCGTTCATTTCTGTCATTTGCTCTTTTTTTCAGGATTGTCGTCCGACTGCGTCGCCGCTCGGCGCCTCCTGATGCACGTGACTCTATCCTCTCCCTGTCAGTGGCTGAGCGCGTAACGTTCCCCTGCGATGCTGACAGGAGGAACCGAATAGCCGACGTCCACGTCTCTTTCTGTTTTTATTACTTTGAGGCAATTTTTACACTCGTATTTTTCCTCCTGGTTGTTTTAATATGTAATTGTGCTGTAGTACTTTTACTGCTTGCCGTCTGGAGTAGGTGTTTATTTTTTATTTTATTTTTTTTGTACTTTTTCGTTTGAGTAATACTGATGTTGTTTGTGACCTTAGAGAAGCTGAATGAGTTCAGCAACAGTTTCTAGGCGATACTTGTGACTGTAGATTTAACTGAACTTAACTTTGTTTGGTATAAAATCTAATCTGCACGTTGACTCCATCATGTAAAACTTTTACACCGCACAACAAACCGCTGTGAAAAACTTAAACTGCTCAAATGTAGGAGTTCGATGCATGCAGGAAGTAACTGTTAACTTACAGAAAATAAATGTCAATCGGAAGCCTCCTCAGAGCGTTTATATGTGCATTGTCAAACACTTCTAATTAACCTGATTCAAATATTGTTGTAGGGTCACCGGAAATATCATTATTTTAAAAGTTATCCGTTTGTTAGCGATGAAATACCGTGAGACAAGCTTGTTAAAATCGTCACGCTGATTAAAAAAAACACGCCCAAACTTTCCTCACTGGTCTTGTCTGAAATGCTGCAGCTTTTATTCCTCAGCAGGGCGTCTGACGTCTTTCCTCAGTGCCAAAGTTGAAGGCAAGTAAAGAAAAGCTAGCGAGCTAGCGCTCTCTAAACCTACTGAACCCACACTGGTTTTGATAGGTGAGACTGGTTTACCTTGAGTCATATTGGGGAGGGGGAGGGGGGTATTACCTCAACAACTTCTGGACACCTTCGCAGTGAAAAGGTAAGTGACAGGTTACTGGATTGGAAAGAATGCTGATGTAGTGCTGAAACACATTCCACATTTGTATGATTCTTTTAGGTGAATTATTACTTTCATTCAATAGTTTTTTGTAGTAGCCAGAAAAAAGTTGGGGATTTCTTTAGGCTCTTTATGCCAAAAAAGTCCTGAAAGTACCAAAGGTAGATACAGGGAACATGAATAAGAGAAAACCATCAGGTGTGGTCAGTTATTTAGTGATGGAATGATCCACTCTTACGCATCTTTTGGGGAAAAACATCATCATGCTGGAAAATCTTACACAAATGTCTTAAGCTAGATTGAACAGGTGAAGGAAAGTTGAGAACAAATGTTAACTCAGTTTGGTTTTGTGGAGTCTGTTAAGGCCCTTGTGCTTCTCTGAAGGTTAAATGAACTTCCACTGTCATCTGTGGTTTCTATAGCTATCCGGTGTGTGTAATAGTTTCACCACTTTGTGAAAACCTGGCACGTGAGTGTAATTGTTGGTTAGTACGCCTGCTTCGGTGTAGACCACAGGCGTTGAACTCCAGGCCTTGAGGGCGGCAGATTTAAATGGCTAAATTACCTCTTCAAAATGTCAGGTATGTTGACCCAAGATGTTATCTAAAATCTGCAGGACACTGGCCCTCGAGGCCTGGAGTTCGACACCCATGGTGTAGACCGTTTAGGGCAGGGGTCTCAAACTCCAGGCCTCGAGGGCCAGTATCCTGCTTGTTTGTGAGATATCCCTGCACTACCTGCTGTTGATTACCTGGATCAGGTGTGCTTTGCCAATAAGAAGCTACAAGGGCTGGTTAGTTTGAAAAGAAGCAGGATCGTGGCCCTCGAGGTCTGGAGTTCGACACCTGTGGTTTAGGGATTCGTAACCCACTTCCACTTAGGTAGTATGGATCAGCACTCAGTATATCTCACCCTCCACTCCAATGAGTAAACAGTGCTAGTGTGGATTTGGGCCATGGGCCGGCAGTTGAAAGAACGGGTCATTTTTAAGTAATCAGACATCTGTCACATTCTCTAATGTTGAATCACAGCATGGAGAAGAACTCGACTGTCGTCTGCCTGTCTGCAGTTTGCTAATGATGATAGGGACAAGTGAGAGAGCAGCTGGGGCAGGGGTAGTGGGGTTAAATAAGAACAGTGGTGCTTTGGTTTGTGTCATTCCATCGCTCATAGATGGCTAATACTGGATCACTTATTTATTTGGGTTCTCTCTTATCTATTTTAGGGAAATCTGAGGTTCAGAGGTGTTAGCTAGTCTGCAAAACTGTCCGGCTGTTCTTTATGTACACTGTACAGACTGTGAGCGGTACGCTTTGCTGCTGACAGATTGGATGCCAGCTGTAGGGTTTCAAATGCATCTGAATTTTAAAAAAATGATGGCAGCTTTTAGGGAAAGTCGAGGTCTTTTTAAAATTGGAAATTTGAATAATTTATTTTTACAGTTTTTTCTTTTTGATTGAATGAATGTGAAGGATTTACCACAGAACACTACATTTGGACTTGAAGATGTGATATTTCTATATATGATAAATATAGATTTTAAACCCTTGTAAACATGAAGTTGGTTAAGTGTGTGGGAATTTCACAGTAATAATTTCTTTAATGTATTGTTAGTTTTTGGATTTTTGCAAATATCAATAAAATATTTAAAAACAACAACATGGACTCTGTTAACTTACATGCTGTGTGTCTAGTTACTTGGCTGGTTGCCATTTGAGTCACTGTTTTCACTGCATTGTTTTAGTTCTGTTTGCTACTGCACATTGGCCCTGTCCAAATTTATTTGTCTTCAAACACGTGCACAAGAAGCAATTTCTTAACATCCTGGTTTTTAACTGGACAGTAGCAGAGCTATGATACCTCATGGGAAGAGCTCTTTGCTCAATTTTATATGGGAAAGTAAATCTAACATAGATTTTATACTACAAAACTAAATTCAGGCTTTTTGTCATGGAATGGGGAAACACTTTTTTTCTGTCCCATAACCAAAATCAGTTAAAAATAAGGATTTCAATTTTGCTATAAAAAATTACACTTTAGGACAGTTTGTGTACATTAATTCCTACTTTTGATATAAATAAGTGCACAACTAACTTCATGTGGCAGGATTGGGTGTAAATTGATCCGTTTAAAAAGTTGTTTCACTATGCCAGCAAACCTTAGTGGGTGATGTTTGCTGTCAGGACAAGGCTTTAGGTTACCATTAACCCTTTCAGCAACAATATTAATATTTTAGTGAGCATTTCTGGCAAAGTTCCTGAAGGCAAACTTATGTTGTGTGATGTTATGTATAGTAAGTGTTCAGAGCAGTAACAGCGTCCTGATACTTCCCCATCTTGACTAATAAATTCCAAACAGCGGTAAAACAATATCTGCAGAAAGTTGCAATGAGACAATAAATACTCTTCTATCACCAGAGTGTGGAAGCTGCATTCAATAGTCACTGAGTAACCAGAAACTTCAAACTCATCAGAGGATGTTTCCCTGTTGTAAACCTGACACAAGTGACGCAGTGATGGGGAGAAAGAGCCCTCCAACTTGGTCTTAATCATATTGTGTATTTAGGTTTGATTCTTATTAATTTAACTCCTCATCTTAATGAAGTTAAGGTATTTTAAAAACATATAATGCTGTATAGAGCAGCATAGTACATATATATCTTAAAAAGTGACTTTAACTTTTAGTTTCTATATATGTATATAGTGTGTGTGTGTGTGTGTAACACTGATTTTCCCAGTAGAACACAAAGGAGAATCATAGTAAAACTGAAAGTAAAATATCAAGTTTAGCCAAAGAATGAGAAACATAATTTTATCTGCTTTTTCTGGGAAATGTCATTTAGTCATAAGCGTGCTGGAGCATCTCCACCTCATCTCATGTAGCACGAGATAAGATAACAATCTGATACAGCTTCAGCAGAGTTCCCCCTTTGTAAATTCAGTAATGTAGGAACATGAACCTTTAGGTTGGACTTTGCTCTACGACAATGAGAACTAGTTTTTGGACCTGACCCAGAGGTAACAGATGACCCATGTGTCTCTATGGCTGGCTTACCTAATTCAAATTATATTTTCTCACTATGGCAACAAAAATGTTGTTTTTGTCTGAACCTGCCATACTGGCTAGTAATGATGCAACAACAGTAGCCTACATTCCCCAAAGTATTTTTTCTGTTTTGACCTTCCTTGATATGTTTCACCAAACACCAAGCATACCGGCACACACACACTGAAACTGGAAACTAGCCAGCTGACACACAAAGTTGATGCTGAAGGCAGACGGTCTAAAGAGAGCATTTTGGCCAAGCTGAAGCTGAAACAGGCTTTGTGAAGCTTACAGAAATATGTGCAAGAGCAAAATGAAAGGTGAAGTGAACTGTTCTGCAGTAACATTAGGATGCATTTTGCTTCATTTCAAGCCATATACTGTGGGTATTTTTCCTATTTACACTTGTGTAACCGGTGTTTGTCAGACTGAAACTAGAATGCAGTATGCTGCTTCACCAAACAATCTGATGGCTAAACAACTTCTTGTTGACACTTTGAGGAGTTTATGTGGACTTATCTGAGACTTTTGCAGTACCTGCAGCTACGGATGTCATTTTTATTTCCTTGCATGGCCCTGAGCTGGAAAACCATGTTGTAACTGTTACACTGAAGACACACAAAGGAAATTAGAATTATAAATTATATTTAATTATATTCATCTGACAAAATGTCAGAACGCTGTGTCTGAAACTATTCGGGTTTGCACTTTGTCGTGTATGTAGATCACTTTATAACTGTAGCTGTTTTATCTGATCTCTTGATAAACCTGTCTCAATAAGCCAAATTGGTTTGTGTTCAAGGTAAAGGCCTCTATAAACCATTTCCATAAACTCAAAGTGTGTATAATTGGCAGTCACATCAAACATTATCTAAAACCATGTGCAGAAAAACAGTTTAATTTCTTACACTGAAAATATAGAAACAAGTTGCTTTAAGGTTCTAAAACATTTGCATTTAAAACGCTTTAAATGTAGCTGTAATCATATTATGATAAGAGTTTTTTAATATCTACAGGGTACAAAGAGGGCAGATTTGTCTCAGCCAGCTTGAACTCTAATGTAACAACACCACAGCAATTTGCCTGTAAGTTCGCTAAGTCATTAACATAAACAATATACATGTCAGTAAGGATAGTGCATCTCATCACTCTCCAGAGGGTTGCGTACACTGAGCTCAGCTGAGAAGTTGTTCATCATACTCATGGGTGTCTCTCTGGAAGGAGGTGCTGCCAGCACCTCAAACTCTACCTCAAAGTTGGCCTTGGTTTCACCAGACTCGCGGATGATCAGGATCTCATACTCTCCGAACCGGATCAGAGCTTTGTATGGCAGATCCATCCTCTCCAGGTATCCCAGTGCTGAGGTGTTCACTGACAGTCTCCCCCTCTGGCTCAGATTCTGGATGGTAAACAGCATCTCTGAGCTCTGGGGAATGTGGTAGGCGTAGAGCGCCAGCTGCTTACGGGACACCCGGGGATCAAGCAGGACGTAGGCACAGGTTTCGGTGTCACGGCCCAGCCTGAGAGGGTCGTCGGCAGTGTGTCTTCTTCTGGCTCCCAGAGGAAGACGACCATAAAAGCCCTTACAGCTCTGCTGCGGATGGTAAAGCTTGATTTGGAGGCAAGGCAAAAACATAATCTTAGGTAAGAATGTGACTTAGTTTTCAAATTGTAGAAGATTGCTGCTTTTAACCGGTAAAATGGAAAACAAGAAATACAAAGTATCTCAGTAAGAAGATTCAACTAACTGTGCTGTCGCCGCCAGAGAAAAATATGAATGAGTCTTTATGACTATACTGCTCTTTACAAGCGGCTGTCTTTGTTTCAAGGAAGTTTCCTCATTGGCTCTGCAGTAACCCTGCTGGTTTCAAGTGCAAATCTGCAAATACCACAAAGACTGTTCTGGATGAAGTAAAGTTCACGTTATTGGAAAAGAAAAAAAAAGTTTATTTGATTTGATTTTGTTAACAGTGTAGAATTTAGGGTAGGTGTCTGTAAGACAAGTCAGGAAAATAGAATTTCCCTGAAAAAACGTGTTTAGTGAAGAAATACTTAAGAGAGGACTCTGTGACTGCATGGCTACTATTGACACAGTATATTCTCATAGCTTGGTGAGTAGTCTAACACACACTCTGTGGATGAGTGTATGAATGTCACACTACACTGGTGAAATCTCCACCTGGAGTCCATGGATGAACCTTAAAGTTGACATTAAGGCACAGCATCTGTTTCACAGTATCTAAAACTAGAGCGGGAAGAAGGAACTCTGCAATATTCAACTGTTACACATTAACTAATCCTCTGCCACGATATGAGTCAAGCAGAGAAAAGCTAATGTTAATAAATGTCGGAGAGGTGGATATGACCAAACATGTACAAACCATTTCATACCACAGCTTATGAAGTCACTTACTTAAGGGCCACGGTATGATACAGGAAGTTTGTTTAAGGCTGTTCAGACAGAAAATAGTGCAGTATTATAATTTTTAACTGTACTGGGCATATTGAATAGAAAGTAGATTATATGTACCATAGAGTTATTAGTTATCATTGGCTTGAAAGGTCTAAAGTACTGGTTTACTTTTCTTTAAATTAACCAGTCCTTCAGTAGATCAATGCGCCCTCCTATACACAGGGTGGCGCTGTGTTTGTCATAGAATCTAGCTTGTATCGTGGCAGGCAGGCAAAAAAGCACCGGAAGTCGGTAAAAGGAAACGTCTCCACGGGGTTTAAATCGCTGTGGCGGCTAAAAGTAGCAGGGCATGTATATCGTCTTGTCACGATATTTACAATTGGTCGCATTTTAAAAGCTGGATAGTTCCTAACCCTCAGTGTTTTTCCGCCGCTTTTCACCTCTGCAGCGCTGTTGAGTGTTAGCTTAGCTTTGCTTGCTAGCGGACTGTTTTAAGACGCTTGTACGCTTTCAAAGTGTATTTACCACGCTGTAGATTTGGGTTCACAGCTATAACTAGTCACCCATCAAAGCCAGAGCTGTCCAAAAATGCTGCTCTCCCCTCTGTTTCACAAGCTCCATCTTTGTCATCTGATCACAACTACCTCCCCAGAAAAGCTTTCAGATGCAGTACCTGCTTGTGGCCACAAGAGTGCAGTAATTTACAAGACAAATACAAAAAAGTAATATGCGATCCTGCTGCTGTTCTAAGACATCAGGACGACTGTTGCTTTCATTTATTATTTTAGTTTTTTATTCAGATATTTAACAATGGTGAAGATATTTTTGTGGGAAATGTGCCCCATAGTGATGGCCAAATGAAGCTTTCCGAAGCACTGAAGCTTGTATTGAAAAACGGTTCATTACTCGAAGCTTTTCAACACAGTCCTCTCCGGTGACATCTGGTGGTGAAAATTTTGAAGAGCAGCTTGAATCTGCAAAATAAAACGGACTGCTCAATTATCACTGCTCACTCAAGAGTGGAGTTCTCTCTGATATTGGGCCACCGTTCCGTTGCTTTGAACATGTAATTGGTTTTGTTTTCTCGATTGGGGGCTGAAAAAAATGTAATGCGTATTTGCGTAATACATTTTGATCAATAAACTTTCCCTATTTAAACATGCACTATGGTGGCCTTTCTTTGCTCATAACTCCTTGATGTTGGTAAATACAATAAGTGAGCAATATATATAATATACATATGATAATGCACAGCACATTATGGAGTATGCCCCTGCTGTGAAGTCCTGCCTCCATCTACTTGTCGTTTAATCACTGGACAGCTTGACAGGTTCATACAAAATATTAGATTAGGCCAATTGTCCTATACATATTTTTGACCTAGGGGTGGGATTGATTGTGAACTGGAAAGGGAAAATGCTTAGGAAGCTGAGTACGGCTGCATCGTCACTGATTTGTAGAATCATTTTGATTCGATACAGGATCCGATTCAATTTGATTGGAATCTGGAAAGTTTTGCCTCAGTCAGAAATATTACAAGTCTGATCATTTAACAGTATATATCCATAATTTCGTATCTATTAAAAGAAAGCTGACACATGTGAGACTTAATTAGAGATGTAAACAGAGAGTTATGAAACCTGCAGCTGCAGAAGCCAGCGGGGGAAAAAAGAGGCAAACACAGCGCGGACCCGCCGACACATCAAAATCTGACTCTGACGCGTCGGGTCCGCGCTCTGTGTTCACGTTTGTATGCAGAATCCGTAAACCTGTTCCCAGTTACTGTTTTAGCTGCATGGTGTTTGACGACATGTTGTGAGGTTTAACCTGAGATGCTGGCGTTTCAGGCATAATAACGTTAATTTACAAATCGACACGGGATTTTAATGAATCAATATCACTTTATTCAATTTAGCATGGATTGTAATCAGAAAGGCGATAATCAAAACCCACCCCTAATCAAGAACTTGCAAAGTAAAAACATGATCAATGTAAGGTAGCCCTTTTGTTATTTACAGTTAACAAGAGGATTAGTGTTACTGTGCGCTGGCTGAGTCTGTTTCTTTTCTTAGAAATAGTTTCTCCTGCCCTGAAGAAAATCCACTTGCATGGAACAGAAGAGGCTGTGGAGTGCAGGAACTACACTGCAAGTTGGTAGATATGCAGGTATTCCTGGGTCCTGCAGACTATCACCTAAAAACAATAAACAAAATGATTTTCTAAACTGTGTAGCAATGTCATGTACGTATAGTGTCAAATACATTGTTGTAGTCTTCATTAGCTTTAATTCACATGGAAGTGTTCCTAAAGTCATATGCTGTAATGATATTTACATTATGAAAACATGATTTTGGACATTTCAGGTTTTTCACTTCGGCAGATAAAATGAATTGAGCAAAATCAACTCAAAATATTCCCACACGCCAGAACGTCCTCTCTTCCTCGCTGGCTCCATATCTGTCAGTGGAATGATCACCTCTTCACTATCTGTCACCATCAACACACTCCACGAATCCCGTGGATGATTCACTTCCTTATATCCGTTTGAATCAGGTACCGAAGCAGTTACGTGCGTAATGAAGCTTCGGACGTCACTGGTCACGTGACTTTTGCCAAACGAAGCAAGCCTCGACACAGTGCTTCTGAACCAGTGTGTTGTTTTTTTCGACACACGCTCCGGAGCGTCAGCTTCAAGCGGGCCATCACTAGTGCCCCAAAAGGCAGATGAGGAAGAATTCAGGACACTCTTTAGCGAGTATGGCACAATCACAGAATGCACCATCATCCAAAACTTTGCCCTCTGTAAGTCAAAGGTAAAAACCGAGGCTTAGTGAAACTGAGTGTCACGAATGCAGACAAGGGATCCGATGACGAGCTGTTTGATGACAAGTAAAACACAGTAGGGTCAGGGCAGTGGTTCATTTACTTTCTGGCGAAAAAAGACATTTGCAATTGTTCGGTCACTCGTCTGATTGACCTGATCTGTTTGAAGGATGAAGATTTTCACCAGGAGATCCACGATCATCACTACAAGAACAGCAGTCAAAGCAGTTATTAAACATGCCAGCTCAGTTATTAAACTAGAACATTGCTCTGCTCGATCAATAAAGTGGACAAAACTTAAGAAAGCTCTTAAGAAAGGAGATGTTGGCGCTCATGTCAAATTTTCCGTTTTGAAATCCACGACAGAATGCTGCATCACCACTAGACCAGTGCATAGAGGTGGTGCTCTGATCTTGTTTCTGTTAACATCTATTCTGGACCACAATGTGTAAGGTATAACTCTGGAGATGTTGGAGCACCTCAGGGTGACCTCTTAATCAGGCTGGACCTCCCAGTCTGAGACTCAGAGGTCAAAACAGTCCGAAACAAACAGTTTAAGTACTATTTTTATTATTTTAGCTGGGAAAAAGAGCAGTTATCATTCCGGTAAATAACCCAACAGTTGCACTACAGTAATTCAGTTTGCCTGGGACTATCTTTGAGATCCTGTACATGTTAATTTGTTTACTCAAACTGGACACTTCAGTTCAGTCTTAACCAGTGAATTAACAAGCTTTACCTACCCTGGTGTTCTAGGTGGACATAGACCGTGGTCACCACAGTGCAATGATTAAGTCAACTGATAACACTGGTTTAAAAAAGAATGCAAAAAGGTAACAGTGTTTAATTGTAATGCAACTTGATTTCTGAATGTATTTTATAGGGTAAGGCCTATTTTCCTATATGGAGACAATATCTTGCAGCCATTTGCTGAAATTTGAAATAAATTGAGTCACACACACTTTGTGAGTGTTATTTAATTCTGTAAAGGCTTCAAACAACAGTACAGATAACATGACTGCAGTCTGCATGCTTTGTGACAAAGAGGGGTTGTAAGTTTAGAATATCTGTAGAGACAAGTTATCTGCCATGGGCACCAAACAGTCAGAAAGATGACTGTGACTTTAGAACCTTTTCTTTTTGTGTACTGTTGGTTATATTGGAGTAAAATCCATTCAGTAAACAATATTAAAAACCTGCAGGACGTGAAAGTGTTGCATGTCTGATCTTTAACACATTCTCCAGAACTAATGGACCACCATGCTTGAGAAAACAGCATGAGCACAGTCAGTTATTACTTTATCTACTGTCCTTTGTGGCTAAATTGTGAAAGATGCAGGAAATGCTAGCATGCTGGTGAACGCTCTTCTTCCTGTTGTTTAGAATACAGCATAGACCAA